GGTTGAGGGGGGAGGGGCACTTTCACTTACGCCGACCTAGATTGGATCAGCTCTCACTCTCTGGTCTCCCGGGGCCCTGGCTTGCTGGGGTTCCCCCACTGAAAGCTTTCCCCCTTTAGAGGGTTTCCACTGCACCGGTGGTGGGAGTCCTGGACCGCCCCGGATGCGTGGCCTCTCCCCTGCTCTTTCCCTCAGCCACGGCAGCCATCCCAGTCTCTAGGGGAGGGAGCAAAGTTCTCTCCTACCCTGTTCCAGCTCCTCCCAGGGTGCCTCCAGCCTCTCTGTCTTCCGTCGTTTGGCTGCTATGGGTCTCTGACGATTTCTGTTATTAGGATTTTTCCATTTGGTTGGAAAGCAGTTGCTGTTTTTGGTTGTAATTTGGAGGGGAGAGAGTCTCCAGTGAGCTCATGCTACCGTGTTGCTGACGTCTGTAGATTTGTATTATTTTTGATGGCTATTTAGTATTCTATTATATAGATGTGCCATCATTTTTATTTAATCGTTTTGTATTATATAAGTTGTAGCCAATGTTTGTTAATATAAAAATTGCTTTAGGAAACGTCTTTGTATGTGTGCATTTATTTTTGCATGTTTATGCAACTCTGTGTATGTAATAAGTTCCTAGCAATGAAAGGCTGGGTCAAAAGTATGTATATTTTAAACCTTAATGTTACTGAAATGTTTGTTAGAATGTCCAGTCGTATGAAAAGAGATGAGTGTTCCTATTTCTCTTCATCAAGGAATCTCACTTTTGGCACTATTGATATTTTAGGCTGATTTTTTTTTTTGTGAGGGCTGTCCTGTGTTAGCAGTATCCCTGGCCTCTACCAACTAGCTGCCAGTAACCCCTGCCCCAGTTGTGACAACCAAAATTGTGCAGATATTGCCAAATAACTTCTTGGAATCAGAATCATCCCTGGTTGAGAACCACAGCCCTATGTACTTGGTTATACTAGTGTGGCCTGATAATCAGTTGACATCGACAGATGAATGGCTACTCCTGGAAAAAAGTAAGCTTGGTTGATTGTGATGGAAAGCCTAGGTTCCCTAGGAGGGAGATACCATTCCTGTGTCTTTGGTGACACTCCACTGAGATCATACCTTCGTACCTATCTAGGTCAAGTTGTTGTTAATAAATAGATAGAACTTCTCTTCACCAAACATTCAATAAATATTTCCACTCCTTGAAGAAGTTGTGGTCTAGTATGGGAAAGAAACATTTAAAAAACATAGTAAGTCCTGTGAGAACATAGGTAAGTTTAGAAACAAATGGTCTTCAATATCAGAGCACTATGAATAAGGTATAACATCCATTAAGGTGAGGGTGAAACTTCAGTTTGTTCAGAAAACATCTTTTGAGCATCTTCTGAATTCCAGACACTGTGCTTTGTATTACAGGACCTACCCTAGTTGCTTATTGAGGAAGACCAATGAAAACAACTATAATATAGTGGATTGAGTGTGATGATTGAGGTAAACATAGGATGCTAAGAAAGTATGTAGGAAAGGTATTTAATCCAGTCTGAGATTAGGGAAGGCTTCTTGAGAAGGTGATGCTTGAAGAATGGGCAGGAGTGAGTTTGATAAGGGAGGAGGACGACTGACTTGGGAATGGCATTGCAGAGGCATTGCAAAGGCATTGATGTGTAAAACAAACATTGTGCTTGAAATAGTTCAGTGTTCTGGAGCATGGTGTGGGAGATGAGAATGTACACAATGGGACCAGATCTTGAAGAGCCTCTTATGCCTTGCTGAAAGTTTGGATTTTATTCTTTTTTTTTTCTTCGAAGATTGGCACCTGGGCTAACAACTGTTGCCAATTTTTTTCTGCTTTGTCTCTGCAAAGCCCCCCTGTACACAGTTGTATATCTTGGTTGCACGTCCTTCTAGTTGTGGAATGTGGGACGCCGCCTCAACGTGGCCTGACGAGCGGTGCCATGTCCATGCCCAGGATCTGAACCCTGGGCCGCCGCAGCGGAGCGCGCAAACTTAACCACTCGGCCATGGAGGTGGCCCCCAGATTTTATTCTTAAAGTAGTAGGAACCTTCTAAAGGATTTTAAACGAGAGAGTGATGAAAGTTTTCAGATTTTCATTTTCAAATGATGACTGGAGACATTGTGCTGGGAGGATTAGAAAAAGGGCAAGACTAGAGTCCGGGAGACAAGCTAGGAGGCTTTTGTGGTAATCCAGCTGAGGGATGATGAGATCCTGAGCTGAGGTATTGGCAGAAGGAATGGAGAGAGACAATTGGACTTATTCAGGAAGTAGAACAAACAGAAATTGGTGACTGGGTAACCAGTTTGATAACAGTACCCTTTACATGAAGAAAGGAAATAGAGGTAGGGGAGATAATGAACAGTTCTTTTTTTAAAGCCAATTAAAATCAAAGGACACATACATATGAAGAGTAATGATTTAGGAGTTTGGTTTTTTAAATAATTGTTTGAGGTGAACTCCTTAATAAACTGTTTTTTGAATTCTTAGTAAACTTTTGTTGAATTCAGCACAACTACCTTAAAAACTAAGAATAAGGAGCATTAGATATGACAAAGAATAATAACTTCAGCTTTTACATTATAGCTGAAGTGAAAGGAGAAAGAAGGATGGAGAGAAGAAAAGAAACTAAGGATGTGAGAGAGCATGAAACAACTTAAGAATAGACTGATGGCAAGGATCTCCTACTTGTTTGGTCCTTGCTTCTGCGTTTATGTCTTGATGTGCATTGATTGTTTCCTTCTGCATCTTTTCTGAAGTCACAATCTCTGAGAGGCAGCATTTGTTTGTGTATCTATATATCTCTATATATCTTGGTTCTGCTGCTAACTAGCTGTGTGACCTTGGACCTAACCTCTTTCTGCTATAGTTTCCTCATCCATAAAGGGTAATAACAGTAGAACCTTCTCTCACATAGTTGTTGTGAGGATTAAATAAATTAATACATACAAAGCACCTAAACGTGTAAGTTCCCCAGCACATTGTAATCATTCAGTACATTTTAGCTGTTCCAACTGGTCAGAAGATTTTCAGAACTTGCCTGTTCTGACTTCCTTAACATCTCCTTTGTCATCCTGACTCCTTTAGTAGCTAGGGCTTATACCCTTGCTACCACTACGCCACTTCTCCTATTCAATTACAAAAGTTAACCTTTGGACACTCTGCCTAGAGTCTGCTTGCTCTTCTGTGTATGCATCTGAGCCAGTGGCAGAAGTAAAGATATCCTGGTGTAGGACAGAGCCCTCCATCTTTTTTTCCACATGAACGTGAACTTGAATTTGAACTTAAATGATCAGGTACAGGGTGTGGCTGTTATAAATGATTTCTCCTGAATCAAACTAACAGCTGAATCTAGACAGATTAAAAAAAAAACAACATGAATGGAGGCTTTGTTACTTTTTACCAACATGGAAACATATTATATAACTTCTCTGCAATTTGCTTTTTCCACTTGACAGTATATCGTGATCTTTGCAAGTTAGTATATATACATCTAAACCCACCTTTTTGTCTAGTTTATTTATGCACATACAATTTATACATAGAGGAGATTTTTTAAAGTGCAGGGTTTTTTTTTCCTTGCTGCACCCTTCCCCCTTTAAAATACTTGTGTTAGCATGCTCCATACCACATAAAAATATATATATGCATATGCAAGATTTATTGCGTTGTTTGCTCTGCAAAAATGGAATTGTATTATATAAATTTCTCTGCATTTTACTTTCCTCATTCAGTTATACCTCTTGAAAAATCCATCAAAGTCTTAGTATAGCTCTAATTCATTCTTTTTTAAAAAACAGTTTTATTGAGGTATAATTTACATATCATAAAATTTACCCACTTTAAGCTTACAGTTCAATGGGATTGTTTTTTTCCCTTGCTTTTTTCTCCCCAAATCCCCCCAGTACATAGTTGTATATTTTAGCTGTGGGTCCTTCTAGTTGTGGCAACAACGGGATTTTATAAATTTATACAGTGTGTAATCATAGCTATAGCCATAATCCAGTTTAGAACACTCCATCATCCCCAAAAGTTCCTTTGGGTCTATTTGCAGTCATTTCTATTCCCATCTCCCAGCAGGCACAGATCTGTCTTCTATCTCTATAGTTTTGCCTTTTTCACCCCAAATCCCCTAAGTACATAGTTGTATATTTTAGTTGTGGGTCTTTCTAGTTGTGATATGTGGGACGCTGCCTCAACGGGGACTAATGAGTAGTGCATGTCCATGCCCAGGATCCGAACTGATGAAACCCTGGGCCGCTGAAGCAGAGTGCGTGAACTTTACTACTTGGCTACGGGACCAGCCTAGAAATTTCATATAAATGGAATCTTGCAATATTTAATCTTATTGTCTGGCTTCTTTCATTTAGGTGTTTTTGAGGTTCATGCATGTTATAGTATGTATCAATAGTTCTTTCCTCTTTATTGTTGAGTGGTATTCTCTTGTTTGGATATATACCACATTTTGTTCATCCATTTACCAGTTGACATCAGACAGATGGCTTTTATACCCTTTCTTCAAATAAATTCTTTCACAGAGTCCTAATATCTTTCACTTGCTCTTTTCAAGACCAATGATAATAGAACTGCTTTGATTCTTGTGAGAGAGGGGAGCTCAGAGCTCTGCCTTTTTAATCCTTAAGGTACCTCTTTAGAAATCTAGGGATATGGTTGGAAAACAACTGATTTAAAGCATATTCTAGAAATTTCCTACCTTTTATTAAGAAAATATGTGTACAAATGCTATATCCAGATGAAATAAAATGAAGAAAAACTTGCAGTGTTAGAGAACACTTTTAATTTTATACCAGAATGTGTGATAGATGCAGTATATTTCCCAGGGGAATGATGATATTCCCCTTATGTACAGTTTGGCTTTTCTGCAAGGACTTTGGGGGAATGGGTTATGGTTTCATGTCCATTCTGTGGAATCCTGTCCATTTTAGTGGACCTTTATTTTTTACCTTTCTAGTTACTCATATTTGTTTTTTGTTTTTCAATCAGGCAATTATTATAGTTTGCGTTCTCAGCATGAGAAAGCAGCCTTATATTTCCAGAGAGCTCTGAAATTGAATCCTCGGTATCTTGGGGCCTGGACACTGATGGGACACGAGTACATGGAGATGAAGAACACATCTGCTGCTATTCAGGCTTATAGGTGAGCTTCTAGTTGGAGGGTGAGGTGGAGCAGATTGCTGTGATGTTAGGAGCCTCTATTGAGTCTGCAAGTCGTTAACCTTGATTTTGCCCTCTTACCCATCTCTCAGACATGCCATTGAGGTCAATAAGCGGGACTATAGAGCCTGGTATGGCCTTGGGCAGACTTATGAAATCCTTAAGATGCCGTTTTACTGCCTTTATTATTATAGACGGGCTCACCAGCTTCGGTAAGTCTGGCCACTTGACAATGTGTTTGTTGTGGGAAGGGCTGATGCTTTTCCTTCTCTTTTCTTTTCTTTTTTTGGTAAGGAAGATTGGCCCTGAGCTAACATCTATTGCCAATCCTCCTCTTTTTGCTTGAGGAAGATTGTCCCTGTGCTAACATCTGTGCCAGTCCTCCTCTATTTTTTTTTGTATGTGGGATGCCACCACAGCATGGCTTGATGAGTGGTGTGTAGGTCCGTGCCCCAGATCTGAACCTGTGAACCCCGGGACGCCAAAGTGGAGCATGCAAACGTAACCACTACGCCACTGGACGGCCCCTTCTTTCTCTTTTGATCACTACTGAAAAATCACAGTGAATGGTTTTGGCTCTTAGAGATCTGAGTTTAAACTTGCCATATGTTGTTTGCTAGTTTTTATGTAGTGTATTCTAGTAATGGGTTATAATTGTGAACACAAAATAATATAGTTATAAGAAGCATTGGATTAAAAACCAGTCCTTGCATAGATTTGAAATAGTGATGGTGGTGGTTCCTCAAGGGAGGACTGACTTTAGGTACCTGTAAAATCTTTGCTCAGATTGCCTGTTCCTCTTCTCTCAGGCCAAATGATTCTCGTATGCTGGTTGCTTTAGGAGAATGTTATGAAAAACTCAATCAACTAGTGGAAGCCAAAAAGGTACCTGAAATTGGGTTCTGGAGAATTTGAGTGGAAATCTGCTGTTTGAATGAAGGGTGGGACTATCTGTGCTCAATTTTCCTTCACTCTGATCTATTTACATAGGAAAGTGTGTATATTTATAGGTGCATAGTCTAAAAAGCAAAGTGAGGCTGACCTCATCATTGGGAATGTCAATATGTAGCTTGGACCTATCAGATGTAGTAAAAAATGCCTTGCACTCTGCAAGTCTGAACTTCTGGGAAGCTTGTAGGGCCAGAGCCTTTATGTGATTAATCATGGCACATGGGGCAATGGTCAAAGTGACCAGTTTATTTTTTTGACAGTGTTATTGGAGAGCTTACGCTGTGGGAGATGTGGAGAAAATGGCCCTGGTGAAACTGGCAAAGTGAGTGAAAGGAGTGAAATGCTATTGGTATTTCTGTTGGCTTCTCTGCTATGGTGGGTCCTGCATGCACTGGAGCCTCCCATCCCTCTTACATGAGTGTGGGGTAGGAACAGGGTGTATGGATACTTGTCTGGAAATTTAGCCATCTTGACTAGAGAGAATGCCACTTCTCTTTGAAGGGAGAAGTACTTTCCTATTAGGCAAAGGATCAAGAATGAATTGAAAGAAATGAAATGAAATTTTCATGTCAGAGCAGTCTAGGAAAACTACTTTAAGTACTGATCTCCTGATAAGGCTCAGGAAAATAAGAAATAACTCAGAAATAATAGGCAAAGAGGTTCTTAAATGTAGTTTCATTCCTGCCAGTTCTTTTCTGGATTCTTAGAAAAAATATGAATTGCTTAGTACCTTTTTTAAATCTCACTCAGGGTATTATCAGAGAATTTTTGCAAAGTTGTATTATACAGCTTAGATGTTTATTGACCCTCCCTCCATAACCAGTAGCAGAATAATGATTCTAAGCTTTGATGAAGTAACCATCACATCTGGGCACTAATACTGTCCTGGGTCCCAGTGTGCCATGTATGTCACAATTTTACTTGTCTATGTATTGTCATTTTTTTGGTCTTAATTGTGGGCTTTTCCTTTTTCTCACTAGTTTGCTTTGAGATCTGATTTGTACTTAAAGACCAATTTCTTTTGTAGGCTTCATGAACAGTTGACTGAATCAGAACAGGCTGCCCAATGTTACATCAAATATATCCAAGATATCTATTCCTGTGGGGTATGTGTCACGAGCATGAGAATTGGGTTGTTGATCTTATTCTTATCATCTCAGTTATTCCTGCTTTCCCTATCTAGGAGATAGTGGAACACTTGGAGGAGAGCACTGCTTTCCGCTATTTGGCCCAATACTATTTTAAGTGCAAGCTGTGGGATGAAGCTTCAACTTGTGCCCAAAAGTGTTGTGCATTCAATGATGTGAGTATCAGTTCTTTAATAAAGGGGTTTGGATTTTAGGCTCAAACATATGATCTTTACCATGATGTGTGGGTGGAAAGTGGATAAGAAGGTAAGACGAAAAACTACCTTGATCTGTGGAACTTACATATCAGTGTTTTAGAACCTGTTTTTGAGAGTATCCTTGGACATATTTTGAAACAGTTGCCTGACTTTGTTTCAGACTCGGGAAGAAGGTAAGGCCTTACTCCGGCAAATCCTACAGCTTCGGAACCAAGGCGAGACTCCCTCCACTGAGATGCCTGCTCCTTTCTTCCTCCCTGTTTCACTGTCTGCTAACAACACTCCCACACGTAGAGTTTCTCCACTCAACCTTTCTTCAGCCACACCATAGTTGGCTACCTTCAAGCCATCACATTGCCAGACCCATACCTCCAAGGACCTTAGTGCTTTTTGGTTGTACAGATGGAAACAGCTCCTTGGGGACAGTTTACAGAATCATCTTCAGGGCAGACTGACAGAAGAATCCTGGGAGGAACAGACATTTTCTTTTGCCAGTTAGAAGCACTTCCATCTCTCTTCTGTTCAGAGTGGCTGCCAATCTTTGCCTTCTTCCCATACCTTCCCTCCCCCCCACAAGAAAAAATCCCTTTAACAGCACTTTAGTACAGGTAAGGCTACAGGAACAAATGTTTACTGCTGCTGGGACTGGGAGATTTCTTTAGAGAGGCAAGGAAGGGAGAGAAGTCTGCCACTCTACCTTCTGCTGGCAGTAGGGGCACTGGATACCCTAGGAAGGTCAGGGCACTGGATAGACATGACCTCTTCATTCTTGGATTTGCTGGGCATGACTATTCTGTTGTCAGAGATTAGGTTTAAATGGAGTGAAGCTATATATTCTTACTCTAGGGAAACATTCTTCTAAAACATAGTTTTGAGGAGTCTCCGCGAAGCTTTCAAATTGGAAGTAATAGAGTTGAATAAAAGAAGGGCAAAAAGAATCCCACTGAGCATGGAATTGCTGATAGCCCCTACTGAGGGCCAAAGATGTCTATAGTGTTAGCTATATCCCTACTAAAGCAAAGCAAGAAGACAGGATTACAGATAATGTCATGGACATTTGGGAGTGATAACTTATGACTGTACAGACAAGAATAAACTCCAAGCTGGTCTGTTTTAATAAATATTTTTGATGTAATTGGTTTTTTCTCCTCTATTTCCAACAGAATGTTGTTTTTCCAGCCTTCACCTGATTAGACAAGGTAAAGGGAATCACTCTTGGAGGGTTTCAGGCCTTGAATACAGGCCTGTATTCAGTAGGAGTTAATATGCTATGACTAAATGTCTGCTACAATGAATTTGTGCGGTAGGTGCTATGAAGTATTCTGAGCTCAGGGCCCAGCCCTTCTTTTATGCTTGTTTCCAGAAAAAGTTTCTTACCCATTCACCTTCTAATGTATGATACTTCATTTTATATTAAGGAAGGTTTAGAATATCTAATGTCCCTTGAATTCATTTCTTATCAAGTTTTCTTAGGTTAGCTGTATAGTAGTTACCCGTCTCCACTTGCCATTCCTGTGCAAGGTTCCCGTGAACCTGAATGATGCTTGATTTTCAGCTTTTCTGCTCCTTTTATAATTTCTGTTTTAATGGTTTTGCTAAATTTGGAATTCAAATAAGAAATGTGAATAATATCTTTATTTAATATAACTTGTGCATAGAAACCATATAAGAAAAAAAGCATGAGGTTACATAGGTGATTATATTACAAAAGGGAGAAAAATAACTAGTGTCTGAATATTGCATATGAGATAGAGTTCCAGGTATATGGTAAGGCTTAAAAGAGACATATTTCTTAAGCTGAGCAGCTGACCCACTTCAGGGCAATGACTGCTCTCTCCTTCCCCACAGCCTTAGTATTTTTTGCCAAAGGGCCCAGATTTGAGTAAAGGGGAGCGCCGTGAGCGCAGGATACGGGCATAAGGGCTGCAGTCTGTTGAGTTTTGGCAGGTGGGTGTTCGGGGAAGTAAGTTTCGAAGAAATGGTTTCTTCCCTGGGGGTTGTTGGTTTGGTTGCTGGTTTTCCTGGTTGGCACCAAGGCGCTTTTTGGTAGAAGAAGCCTGGCCTTGGAGTTTTAGCACCGTATGATACTGCTCTGCGATGCATGCTGCCTTCTTCCGAAGGTCCAGTTTTACTAGCATCATGTTATTCTGCAGCTCAGCCAGGGTCTGATCCTAAGGAAGATCAATAAAGTTATAAAAAACATTTTTGGCATATTAGAGAAACAAGAGGGCAAGGTAATACATACCATCTACTCCCAGTTACTAATGACTGTTTTTACAAAAAGATTCTTTGAAGTCAGAGCTTATAGTTGAACAGGGAGTATTTTCTTTTAAGACCCAAACCAACAGCACTGAATAGAACATTTTCTAACACATAAGGTGGTATGAGCTTAAAGAAGTTTACTTAACCTCCAAGAGCCCCAGTTCTTAGGTATCAAATTAAGTGCTGTGTTTACGATGTATTTTTTTTTACATTTTAATATCTCTGGAATCAGGATGCATTAACTGATGATCAATTTCATGGTTCAATTGTTAGTATTTTGTTTTGGTGGTACATAAAATAATGGTATCTTATAATCTAAGCATCTTGGATTTAATACAGTATCTACCTCTGTAGGGTTGTTATTACGAGTAAATATCTATAAATTACTTAGCACAGTGCCTTCTACTTAGTGAATGGTTGTTTTTATTTTGCAAGGAAGAAAAACTCCCCTCACTGTAAGATTAGCCTAAAAATCTTCATTTTTTTCTCTTCTGCTCTTTATTCTCCTTCTCACATAGACTCTGAAGTGGGCTGGTGGGAGAGAAGGGGACATAATAGGCTGCCCTAACCTGTTTGATTAAGATGTCATCACAAGAGGTCAGGGCTTGGCGGAGTTTTCCTGCCCCAGTGCTGTGGCAACAGGCTCTTTCTGCTGACTGGAGAGACTCACCAAGTTTCTGAAGCTCTGTCCGTAGCAGCCTTATATTCTGAAAAAGCAGAAGTAGGAACCAAATTGTGGCCAAGATCCTCCAGGATAATGATCTGGAGGAGTTGGATAGCCATTTGAAGAGAAGTAAAATTAGAAAGGCTAGTCAGCTGAGTGAAGTAGCCACTCCCCAGGACTGTGCACAAAAAACATCATTTTGCCCTCACATGAACCAAGGATATAGTGTTGGAAATTGCTTTAGGTAAGAGCTTTGGTAACAGAGAAAGGTAATTACCTTCTGGCCCTCTTCTAACTTCTTGTCCACATCAGTGGTGAAGGGCTTGGCTGAGGGTGGCGGTTCTAACATCTTCTGATACTTCCTCAGCTCTGAGGGAAGGAAACAAGAATCTTCAATATGTATGCTTTGTAGCCTTGGGCTTACCTCTTTAACTGAGTTAATAGTAGCTTGCAACAAATATAAAAAGTGAGGCCGCATGCATCCTAGAGAGAAAAATCAGGGGAAGTAGCTTGGAGTTGAGGAAATTATGTTGGAGTTGGTGTCAGAAGGCCCAAGTTTGAAGAACAGTTCTTCCCTGAGCCACTGTTAGGCTTGCTGCCCTCTCTCCTCCCTCACCTTCATTCGTGGAGTTTAGCTCTGCTCTGCACTGTTCCAGTTTAGCTTTAACCTCCTGGACCTGCTGGGTGGAGGTAGAAGCCGCCAACCTTTGCGATCGCCGTAGGGACAGTTCAGACCCTGATTGTTGATGGGCCATTGACTGCTGTTTGGCTTCCTGCAAGAGAGCTTCTAGCTCTTCAATCTTCTCATCCCGCTCCTAAGAGAGAAGCAGCACAATTCTGTCCAGAGTCAGACAAATCCTACAGGAACAGATGACTGAACAGTGAACAAAACCTTCCCTGATACTTATGCCTCAAAAGCTTGTTTGTTAGCACTTATACCATTTCCTGGCCGACCAAACCCTTAATCAATTTGCCAAACATAGATTGACACATACGAAGCACTAAGGAGACTAGAGAAAAGTGAGTTACATATTCCTGCTCCTACCAGAGTTTATAAAATCTGTTTACCTCAGGCAACCTAGTTATGGGTATCTGAGTAGCTAGTTGGGACTGGTTCAGGGTAACTCACCTGAAGCTCTTCTTGATAAAAACTTGTAAGTGACTCCTTGAGGATCTTTAGTTTCTCTTCATACATTTCTTCTAATAGTTCCTTTTGGGTGTCCAAATGTTCACTGTCAGGAGCAAAGAGAAGTGAGTAAAGATCCTGAGAAGTGAGTTTGGAGGACAGATCTTGAGGAACAACTCCATCCTAGTTCCTACTTCCCACTCGTGTTCCAAGCAATGGACCAAGAGGGGTCATTCAGTTGGTACCTGCACCACTGTTCCCGTTGTTGCATCTGCTCCACCATCTCATTGCAAATTTCATCACGGAGCTGCATTTCCAGCTGCAACTTTTCCTGCCGTTCTTTCAAAAGTAGTGCTTTCATGGCTTCCACTACCTGTAGGAGCTCCTAGGAAGGACACATGGGTCAGACGTAACAGATACCCATGCCCCCAAAAAGCCACAGGCCCACCTGGAAGGCAGCATGGAAAATGTATAGCCATCAAGCTGCTGCACCAAAGCTTTCTTGTATTCTCACCTCCTTGCCATACATAGAGATGTCAACTTCATTTTCAATGTCATCATCAAGGCCTGGGTCTGTCTTAGCTCCTGTCTGCAAGCTGGGAGAGGCCTGCAGACTGTGTTCCTTGATGAACGAATGTAGCAATGGGAATCCCAGTTGCACAGGTGGAGCATGCACAAGCTAGTGAATGGGGAGAAATTTTAATTGAATCCATAACTAGTCCCTAGTAGCTTCCATAAATAAAGGTAGCAGCCCAAAGTGAGCAAAACCATCAAACCCACAGCTTCTCACCTGGCTGGCAATGGCTGAGAACTTGGCCACATGAAGAGTCTCATCGTAGGTAGATGCGCAGGGATTCACATTGACAATCATGCAGGAGCGGCCTCGGCCTGTGAAGAAACCTTGGAACACTCGAGTCAACTTGCTGTCGCGGAAGGGAACCAGGTTTTGCTTTGACCTGGCAGAGAATCAGAAAGAATAGAGCTGTGAGCAGTACTCCAGCCCTTGGGGTATCCTAACACTATCCTCAGTGGTGACCAGGAAGTCTCTTAGCAAACTGCAGAGCTCCAGGCCATCCAGGCCCATGGCTTGCAGTCAAAAGCTCACCGGTTCTGCTGGTTTTGGCGCAGGGCAGCAATACAGCGGCCCAGGGTATGTAGAGAAGTGTTAATGTTTCCTGCTTCCTTCAGCCGCTCACCACTCTTCTGATCTTTGCAGCGCTCTGAGCCAGCCAGATCACAGAGTGATAACCTTGAATAATGGACAGGATCTGACATAAGGACCCACATGTTACAAGCTTTCAAGCTCTTCATGTAGTTCTGGGGAGGGGAGGACCCATCAAAAAATCTCTGTATCCAAGGAAGGGCAGCAAGAATCTAACAGAAGTAATTCTTCTGAGGACCTCCCTTGCCCCCTCCCCCCACTACCATTTATGGCCAAGAAGCCCAAATTTCTAAATGGAGACACTTACTCGCTGATCTTGGGGACCATATCCCCTTCCCCCTGAAGGTGCAGGATCCTGATTGAGAAGATGCTATGACTGGAAGTTAAGAAAAAGAAAAGTCACTGCACACCTTCCATGACCAGGTGGAGAACTAATGTTTCCCAGAATACTGACAGGTTGGCTCTCACAACTCACTCACCTCCGGCTGGAGTTCTGGTTCAGGTGGGTGCTGGCAAAGCTCTGGTTTTTACGACCCACTTTCAGGAGTTTCCAGGCCTCCTCAGCATCCTGAACATGAATCCAGTTGAGATCTGAGGCCAAGGAAAGAAAGGTATATATGAGACGGGAGCACCTAACTCTTTTCCTAGTCTCTCCCCAAGTCCCCTTCAGGGTTCATACCAACCTCCCTGCTTTCCCATACCTTTCACATAGGGATTGCCATTCTGATCCTCACACAGCCGCAGAGTCTGCCTCTTTCGCTGCTGGCTAGGTGGTTCTAACAGGTCATAAAGCAGTTCATTGTAGATCTCAAAGAAGGAGATCCAGATGGAGAAGCGAATGTCTGCAGGGACACTTACAGGGGCAGTGTCTGGCTGTGCCCATCGGTGATTTGTTTCTAGGGAAGAAGCCAATGTACAGGGCATCAACCATAGGGTAGTCCATCTCCCCTTTGGCCTGCAGGGGCTTCAGAAGGTGGAAATGAGTTTGCAACCTTTGGTCTGTACCCCTGGCAGCAGTTGGGAGCAGGAAGTGTGTTCCTAGTGTTACCTGGAATAGAGCACAGTTACGGTACATACCATCTAGCTGGCTACTGCTGGTAAACTGACTGGTGGAGGAGAGCCCAGCAATGCCACTGTCAAAGCTGGTGCTGGTACCCATCCGACTTTCAATGTAGACACTCTTCTTCAAGGAGGTGGACAGCTCCTCCTGGGGGCACCCAGGGAGAAGATAAGTACAAAACTTTCCAGAGATTTGTCCCTCTACCCCCACCTCTGTGAACACCAACACTTCACCTCTTGGAGGCCTCCATTTAGCAGGGCCAGTTTCTTCGTTTCTTCCTGCCGGATCTGTTTGCTGTCTAGCCAGATTACCTCGTTGGAGAGCAAGGGCTTCAGATCAGGTGTTGGATGAAGTTGGCCTTGGAGGCTATTGAAGATCAGAGCCAGGGACCGTGGCAGAATCCCTCCATCCTTGATGGTACCTGCAGGCATGTGAATGGCAGACAGCTGAGGCAAGTGCTGTTCCCCAACTCAGAGCATCAAAAGGACGCCAGTCAGCAATTCTAGGAGGCCTACTACTCACCTTGAATTGTGTGGGTTTTCCCTGAGTTGGTGACTCCATATGCATAGATGAGCCAGTTCTGCCCTTTGAGTACGTCCTTTACCATCTCCTTCACAGTCAGGTTGAAGAAGGATGCCTGTCCCACTTCTGGTCCAAAGATCTAAAGACAGACCCAGTTTCTCAGGGGCCATTCTTCACCTCCCATTTGCCTCCTGTGCAGAGTCAGCAGATGCATCCCTTTCTGGGTGGCTGGCTTTGGAGACTACTCAAGCATCTTCTTTCTGCAGTGCTGCAACACTGCAGACCCAACCACTCTGCCAGTCCATCTTGCATTCAAATCAATAAATACTTAAGGAATGCTATCTACTAAGTCCGATGCTGCACACACAATGGGGCAACATAATGGGCACAAGAGTGGACTTTGGAGACGGATGGATCTAGATTCAAGTCCTAACTCTACCAATGACTAGCTACATAGCTTCAGCAACATTACCTTCACTGAGCCACAGTATCCTTGTCAGGAAAATAGGGACAATAATGATAATAGAGCTGTTGGGAATTAATGCATATAAAGTACTTGACATATTGACTAGCACACAACAAGGGTCCCCAAAATTGTAGACATGCATATATAAGGTACTCACAGTGAAATAAAAAGATTTCCCTCTAAAGAGAATAAAGCTCCCCCTACATGTTGGTCCCTTGTTTGCAGACCGGTACCTCCATACCTGGGAAAAGGTGAATCTGTGTGTTGCTTGTCCAATTCCCCGCTCATTGCTCTTCTGGGCAAAGGAGTCCTTGGGTGCCTGTAGAACAAGTGTCTCCACATTCTCAATATGGACACAACCCTGAGAAGGGGGAAAACATAGTTGTCACAGAAGGAAATATTCCTGGGTATTGCATCATTGTACCTCAGATCCTCTCTTCTCAGAAACTCACCTGATCTTCCTGTCGTTCCAACTCTGAAGGTAACAAGGGCCTGACCCTCAGGTATACTTTCACCTTCTCCGTACTATCCTCAGATGGAGCCTGTGGCAGAATTTCAGGCCAGAACCACAGATTAATCTCAGCAGTTACTTAAGATGGGCAAACATAACATAGTTCCTGGGAATCACACTAACACTACCCCCATTCTACCTCAAATGTTTGTGTGCAGCTACTCTTTGGTTCCATAATCATTCCAATCCACATGGACTTTTCACTACTTTATCACCCTTCCCTGTCTCTTCAGTATCCTGAATATGTGGCGCCACGCTGATTATCTGAGTTAGAAGTGGTTGACCAGTAGGAAAATCAGCCTGTGATATTAAGGCACAGCACAGTAGTTAAGCACCTTGGAGGCAGACACACCTGAATTTGAATCTCAATTCCATCATTTAATAATTTTGAGACCTTGAACAAGTTCTTTAAATTTCTTTGCCTCAGTTTCCTCATCTATAGAATGGGGTTAATAGTAGCACCCACCTCATCCATTCAACAGATATTTAGAGATCTGTCTACTATGGTCCAGGAACTCTGGTAGTCCACAGTGAGGGACACTATCAAGGCTCCTGCTTTCATGAATTTTCTCTATAAGTCGAGACTTCTGAGTGGAGTTGTTCTCAACCAGGAGCATTTGCCTCCCAAGGGACATTTAGCAATGTCAGGTGAGGTTTCTTGGTTGTCACAAGTGAGAAAGAGCTACTGACATCTAGTGAGTAGAGGCCAGGATGCTGCTAAACATCTTACAATGCATAGGACAGCCCCCTATAACAAAGAATTATGTGGCCCCAAATGTCAATAATGGTGCAGCTGAGAAACCTAGCTTAGCAGAAAGGCTCCATAAATGGAATCTGTGGCTGACATTAAAACCTGAATGTTGGGGCTGGCCCCATGGCGTAGTGGTTAAGTTCAGCACACTCCACTTGGGCAGCCTGGGTTCAGTTCCTTGGTGCAGACCTACACCACTCATTGGTGGCCATGCTGTGGTGGTGACACATAAAAAACCCCCAAAACCTGAATGTACATTCCACCTACTTGATGGCAGTATGACCCTGTGCAAATTATTAACACATCTGGGCCTCACGGTGAAGGAGAGATAACTGTTAGCCTTTCCTCATAGGATTACCTGAGAGTATGCACTTGAGGGTGTTTCATCAATGCAATGCAAATAATAGTTCTTATGGATACACAACTCTACATTTTTTATTCGTCCTGCTCTTAATTTTGAATTGATCATTCAGACCCTCAAGATTGCTGGGTTTTGACCTCATACTACTCTGTATGGACAACTAGTAGGCTGAGGATATCACTCTCTGCCCCCAAGCCACTGAAGGGGAGCAGAATACGCCACCCCAAAATGTGTCACTTTGGCATGTGGATTATTTTGAGCTGAAGGCAATCGTGATCCAGCAGACTTGAGAAAAACTTTTACCTCTCCCTTAACTGCCTAAAAGATTTTAGGTAGGGAGCCTGGCCCAGAAAGAGAGCTATTACCAGAGATAACTTTTTATCTGAAAGACTTACCTACATGGCAGGGCAAACATCTGATTACCAAACATCTGCTCTTATCTTCCTGTGAATTGCCCTGCTCCCCTTTGAAGCCCCAGGCCCTTATACCATTCCTTAGCTCAGGATGGCACATAAGCTCAATTGCCTGACTGCCTTGGGTCTCATATTTGTCTGGGGTTCTTGTAGTACAAAATTAAGTTTGTTTTTCTCCTATTAACCTGTAAATTTAGTTATTAGAACAGCTGAAGAACCTAGAAGTAAAATTTTTTCTGCCACTCTCCAACTCCTTTACCTGCTGCTTGTCCTCTAGGGAGGCGGAGATGACAGAGCAGTCTGACAGCAGGTCCTTGCGTACCACAGACCCCAAATCTGCAGCTGTGGACTCAAACATGGGGGAGACTACGACCTCCTCATCTGACAGCAAGCCGGCTGGCGGAGAAAGGATCCCTTGCGACATGACAGCAGGGGCAGCTTAGGTCTAAAAATAGACAAGGGTGGGTAGGGAGGAGAACCTTAAGGGACAGAGGGGCTGCAAATTCTAGGTTAAGAAACAATTCCTTTGCCCCAGGACATCTTGGTCTCGCTGCCTGAATTCCTGGTCCCTGTTCCCTTCAACTACCAGCAGAGGGAAAAGGGATGAGAGGAGTTAATCATTTAATCCAATCTGAGGCGGCAGGTCCGACCGCGAACAGGAATGAACAGATATCTGACTCCAAAAGCAAAAGGCCACGATCTAAGTAGGGGGTGCCTCACCCACCGGTGTTGTTGAGGTGGTCTCGGTAAGCTAGGCTCCTTCTCCAACCTCGGCCAGAGGCCCACAGTGAGCAGAGAGGGATTAAAAAAAGGGATGGCGGCAGCTCCGCTTTCTGAAAGCCTATTCCGCGAGGGCAAGAGCTGGCATCCCAGCTGGGCTCCAGCACAGTTCCACACTCACCTGAAGACGCGACACTTGTTCCTCCTCTGGTACCGACTCACTCACACTCCGCCACCGAACCTTGACTTTCGCCGCCGAACCTGGACTTTCGCTGCCAGAGAGCACAACTCCGCCCACGAGGCACACCTTTTGTTACTGATACAATGTTTTAAATTACGCGCTGCGTTCGCTCGGCCAATCAGATAGCGAAGCTTGCAGCTACCAATCAGAGCAAGGAAAGGGGGCGGGCCGGGCCGCGCGAGACCGTTTGCTTGGGGGCTTGACCTCTCCGCTCTAATATGGGTCCGGGTTACCAACTGTCGGAGTTTGGAGTTGGGTCGCCTGGAATTCTTCCCTCTTAACACTTTTTCTTGAACCCTAGGTATTTCTTTTCTAAGAAGCCTAAAGGAAATCCTGAGGCTTCGGCCGTCATCCTTTGTTCTTTAGCACATTCCTTCCCAAGAGCGCACAAGAGACCTGGTTAGGGTGCTTGTTCTTCGCAGGTCGGGGCGGGAAGACTCCATTTCCCAGGAGGCACCGCAAACAAACGCCCAGACTCTGCTTCCCAGAGTTCCTCGGGTTTCGGCCCCGCTAGACGGTCTCCCTTCCGGGGTTGGAGACTTCGGGGCCAAGATGGCGGCAGGAACGGGTAGTAAGTATCTGCGGTGCTTTTGCGCGGAAGGCCTTTGTAGAGGCGAGGCCAGGCAGCAGATTTCTGTCACATGCTTAGAGAGTAGGAGCAGTGATTTGCCTGAGAGCCCAGGGTCTTCAGAGACCTTCGCTCGACGGTGTCGTGAAGGCCAACCGTTAGGGGCCCAGCGGTGTTGTCTTGTGTCTCAGGGAGGCCGCTGAGATTTGAGAGAAGCAGCTCAGCGAATCCTTATGTGTTGGGGAGCTCTGCGGGGTGAGAGAGAAGTGTGCTCTAGAGACTCGGGCGCGCAGGTGAAGAAATGTGAGCCACACGGAGTGGCCAGCATTCATTTTTTGACCCACGTTTGTGAGGCCCATACTCCATCTGCTAGAGAAATGGGGGTATTTTAACCGTGAGCTTTTTGTGCCACTGGGAAAATTGCATTTCTTGCGTCTCAGCCATTTTTGTCTGTTTCATGGATGAAAAAGGTCCTTTAGGCCCAACAGCTACAGGGAGGAATTAGTGAAGGAAGTAAACAAGTTTATGCTAAGAAGGAGGCGGGACAGTAGGGGAGGTGGCGTTGCGAATCGCGGGAAATAAGCCTTTGCGTTCAAACTGGAATAAAGTATTCTTAAAACTGGGCCTTTCGGGAGAACTGCCTTATCTTAATCTGACACTCCTTATTTATTATTATGATTATTATTTTTTATAAAGAAAAGGAGCCATGGCACTTGAAGAAATAAAATCTTCCGCCAGATATTCAGAGTGCAATTCAAATACAATGAATAGATACCGCCCCCGTGGTTATGTTTTACTATGAAACATGAAAATCAAGATTTGGTGATAGTAGCTTGTTTTGTCCTTACAAATTGGGATGTTTTGTATTAGGCTTCTAGGCCTCCCTTTGGGGCTTAGAACTACTCTACTGTTTCACTGGTTGTCTCTAAGCCTTCTGTCCTTTCAGAACACAAGCTGCTGAGTACTGGCCCCACAGAGCCATGGTCTATCCGAGAGAAGCTGTGTTTAGCATCTTCTGTCATGAGGAGTGGAGATCAAAATTGGTAAGATATCTAGGATGTCTGCTTTCTTGGGTCTTAGAAACTGTTGGGTATTTTTTTACATTGGTGGATTCCTATAGTTAATTATACTAACCTTTAAGTGTTTATTTTTTAACAGCTTTAATTCACATACCGTAAAATTAACCCAGTATATTCACAGAATTTAGTGTATTCACAGAGTTGTGCAACCATCACCACAGTCTAATTTTAGAACATTTTCTTTACCCCTGAAAGAAACCTCTTACCCCTTAAGAGTCACTCTGCCATCTCCTCACCATCTCCCTAACATCCCTCCCCCCATCCCTAGGCACCCACTCATCTACTTTCTGTCTCTATAAATTGCTAGTTTTGGACATTTCATGTAAATGGAATCATATAATTTGTGGCCTTCTGTAACTGGCTTCTTTCACTTAGTGTAATGTTTTTCGAGGTTCATCCAAGTTGTAGCATGTATCAGTACTTTATTCCTTTTTTTATGACTAAAATAATCCATTGTATGGGTATGCCACATTTTATTTATTTACTCATGGGTTAATGAACATTTGGGTTGTTTCCACTGTTTTGATGGTTATAATTAATGCTGCTATAAACATTCATGTATGAGGTTTTCAGTTCTTTTGAATTGAGAATGGAATTGCTGGGACATATGGTAACTCTATGTTTAACTTTTTGGGGGACTGCTAAACTATTTTTAAAGGGGCCCCACTGGTTTACATTCCCACCAGCAATAAATGAGGGCCCCAATGTCTCCTTGTGCTTGACAACACTTACTGTCTTTTCGGTTATGTCCATACTAGTGGGTATGAAATGGTATCTCATTGTGGTTTTGATTTGCATGTCCCTGATGACTAATGCTGAGCGTCTTTTCGCATGCTTATTGACCGTTTGTATATCTTCTTTGGAGAAATGTCTGCTCAGATCTTTTGATTTTTTTTTATTGAGTTTTAAGAATTCTTTGTATATTTTGGACACAAATCCCTTGTCAGATAGATGATTTGCAAATATTTCTCTTATTTTGTGTGTTGACTTTTCACTTTCTTGATTGGTATTGTTTACAGCAAAAAAGTTTTTAGTTTTGATATGTCCAGTTTGTCTATTTTTTCTTTGTTGCTTGTGCTTTTGGTGTCATAGTTAAGAAACCATTTATTTCTATGTTTTCTTCTAAAAGTATAGTTTTATCTCTACACATTTTAGGTCTTTGATTCATTTTTGAGTTAGTTTTTGTGTATGTTGTAAGGCAGAGGTCTCTCTTGCATTTAGGTACCTAGCTGTCTCAGTACCCAGTTTTTGTTGAAAAGACTATTCTTTTCCTATTGAATTGTCTAGGCACTCAGTATTTCTTTTTAAGTATCAGAAAGTAAGACTGTGGTTTCCAATCTTTTTTGCTACCAGGACATACCCCTTTTCATTTTATTTTATTTTATTTTATTTTATTTTTTGAGGAAGATTAGCCCTGAGCTAACTACTGCCAGTCCCCCTCTTTTTGCTGAGGAAGGCTTGCCCTGAGCTAACATCCGTGCCCATCTTCCCCACTTTATATGTGGGACGCCTACCACAGCATGGCGTGCCAAGCGGTGCCATGTCTGCACCCGGGATCCAAACCAGCGAACTCCAGGCCGCTAAGAAGTAGAGCGTGTGAACTTAACCGCTGTGCCACGGGGCTGGCCCCCCCAACCCCCCCCCCCCCGCCCCCGTTTTCATTTTTTTTTTTTTTAAAGATTTTATCTTTTTCCTTTTTCTCCCCAAAGCCCCCCAGTACATAGTTGTATATTCTTTGTTGTGGGTCCTTCTAGTTGTGGCATGTGGGACACTGCCTCAGCATGGCTTGATGAGCAGTGCCATGTCTGCAATCAGGCTCTAAGGACAACTTTAATTGTCTTAAACCTTGTAATTAGTTAATATACAAATTCGTGTTTATATATATATCTTTACTACTTTAACCATTCAAATGAATTTACAAAAGCACTATTACTGTTCACACTTAGCATTTCTGCAACTTTATATATTTTTCAAATAACTTTTCTAAGGTGAAACCAGTATATTCTGGTAGCAGCTATTCTTTTTTTTGCAGAGGGGGAGATTCGCCCTAAGCTAACATCTGTTGCCAATTTTCCTCCTTTTTCTTTGTCTTTCCCCCCAAAAGCCCCAATACATAGGTGTGTATAGTTGTAAATTCTTCTGGTTCTTCTCTGTGAGCCACTGCCATGACATGGCTACTGACAGATGAGTGGTGTGGTTCTGTGAATGGGAACTGAACCCAGGCCGCTGAAGCGAAGTGCACCAAACTTTAACTGCTAGGCCGTCAGGGATGGCTCTAGGTAGCAGCTATTCTTGGGCCAAATTAAATGGTAAACCTCAAGACAAAATGAATCATACTAATTTGATAAATGACAGCCTGAACTTAAATATAACTCAACTCAGAGGCTGGCCCCATGGCCAAGTGGTTAAGTTTGCCAGGGTTTCACTGGTTTGGATCCTGGGTGCAGACCTAGCACTGTTCATTAGGCCACGCTGAGGCAGCGTCCCACATAGCTCAACCAGAAGGACCTACAACTAGAGTAGACAACTATGTACTGGGGGTGCTCTGGAGAGAAGAGAAAAAAAGGTAAGAAGATTGGCAACAGATGTTAGCTCAGGTGCCAATCTTTAAAGAAAAAAAAAGATATGTATATAGCTCAACTCAAATATAAACTGAACTCATTTTTCTTTTTTTTTGGTGAGGAAGTTTGGGCCTGAGCTAACATCTGTTGCCAATCTTCCTCTTTTCCCTTGAGGATGATTGTCCCTGAGGTAACACCTGTGCCAGTCTTCCACTATTTTGTATTTGGGATGCCACCATAGCATGGCTTGATGAGTGGTGCTGGTTCCGCACCCTGGATCCAAACCTACAAACACTCGGCCGCCGAAGCAGAGTGTACAAACTCAAACAGTATGCCACTGGTCCAGCCCCTGAACTCATTTTTAGAGAAAACACCAAGTAAATAGAATCCAATCTGCATATTTCTTCACATTTTTATTAGAAAAACAGTATATGAACATTTAAGTAAAACTTTGAAATTTTAAGTTGTATTTATTTTTTGAGGAAGTACTAAGTCATAGGTTCAAAATGATACACAATGTCTTCCTCCCATCACTGTACCTTATCTCCCTAGTGTTAGCAATTTCTTGTGTGTTTCTTGCATTAATTTTGTATACATGAGCAAATATGTATTTTCTTTTTCCCTCTCCCTTCTTGAACACAAATGATTATAGACTATACGTACTGTTCTTTACCTTGCTGCTGCTGCTTCTCTGTTTTTAACTTAGTACTGTATCTTAGAGATCATTGCATATCTGTATATGAAGTTTTATCTCATTCCCTTTTTTTCTTTTTTTTTGGCAGCTGCATGTTTTAGGGATATACCATAATTTGTTTAAATGGTCTCTGTTGATGGACATTTGTTAATAGAAATAATAACCTTGCATAATTGTGTATAAATTATATCTAAAACTGAAATTAGAGTTATTGGATCAAAGAATATATAAGTTTATAAAGTTTGATAGATATTTTCAATTGCCTCACTCAGAAATTGTTTCAATTTATACTCCCATTGGTAATATATCAGAGCACATGTTTTTCTATGCCTTGGCTCATAGAATGTGTTGTTAGATGGTTTTGATCTTTGACAGTGTTATAAAAGATGAGAAATAGTTCTCATATTTTTCATTTGCGTTTATCCTATGATGAGTGAGGTTGAATATCTTCATGTGTTAAAGAGCCACTTGTATTTCCTTTTCTGTAACTGCTTTTTCCCTTTTTTTTATTTGATTATTAGTCTTTCTCTTTAATTTCTGGGGACTTCTTATATATTACAGAGATTAGCCATTTGTCTGAGCTATGAGACGCATTTGTTTTACTAATGTGCCATTTGCCTTTGCTTTTGGTGATATTTTTACATTAAGACTTACAAAATATAGCTTACTTATTAATAATTTTCTTTTACAACTCCTGGATTTTGGGACATAATTAGAAAGTTCTTCCCTAGTCTGAGATTATAAAATAATTCTATGATTTCTTCTAGTACTTCCATGGTTAAATTTTTTTAAACATTTAAATCATTGATCCATTTGGGGGTTTTCTTGGTATACGGCGTAAATTATGGGTCGCACTTTATTTTTTGCTGATAGCCATCCATTTAACAATGTTAAATTACTTCTTATAAAGGAAAAGAGCTCTGATACCATTATCCAACACAAAATTTAAAAACTTTTTTCTTTTTTAAAATTATGAAATATTTCAACCACCTAGAGAAATGTGGAGAATAATAGAGTGCACATGTACCTGTTACTTGGACTTAACAAATCTTGATATTTTGTCATATTTCCCTCAGATCTTTTTAAAGAAAAACAGACACAGTTGAAGCCCCTTTACAGTCTTCTTTCATCCCATTCCAGTCCAACTCTCTTCAATTTTGCCTATTTCTTTCTTTGTCTTTATACCGACAACTTTTCTAAAGGTTGTGTGATTGCATCATAGCAAAAAATCGTCATCTTTTTTCAGTTAATATTATGTTATAAATATATTCCATATCACCACATGTATTTCATAACTATTTTTATGAACTGTTTAATTTCATAGAGTTGAAGTGCCATAAGTTAAGCATCGTCTTGCAGGTGTTTAGGAAAAACCTAATGTTCATAGTCTAATCAAATCTACATGATGCTGTCTTCTTGGTGCTTCCTTCTTTTGTTAAATTATTTCCTTATATTGCATTCCTAGGAGCTCTCTTAGTGGATCAAAAGATAACTTTTTTGGGTCTGGACTGTATTACAAATTGCTTTTCAAAAGGCAAATCTTTTCTAAAAGAACTAAAATCAACATAAAAATATTTTCCAAAATGAACAAAAATGGTACCTTACTGGGTTCTAATACCTTCACTTCACCCAGGAGATATATCACCTAGGAAAACTATTTAGCAATGACTCTTTCCTTCTAAACAACTTTTAAGCAGTTGTGTCGTTTTCCATAGTCACATATTCCAGAATACTTTACAGTGGCAGTTTTTTATTCCAAAGTTTGGTCTTCAAACCTTGAACTCTCAGCATACGTTCCCTCCTTTTTTTTCTATTTGATGGGTAATAAGGCTTTTCTCCTTTTGCAGGGTATCAGTTAGCAGAGCAATCAAGCCCTTTGCAGAACCTGGCCGCCCTCCAGATTGGTTCTCTCAAAAAGTAAGTTCCCTATACCTCTGAGATGGCCATGGATTGTGTATTCTTATAACATTTCCAAGGTAGGTCAGATGTGTAATCAGGGTTAGGATTGTATAGTCAGTTTCTTAGATGTATTGATGTTTATTTTGGCTTTGTAATTTAATGAGAATTAAAGCCCATCTGTTAATTTACAGAAATCTAAAAAAATTGTGGAGGCAGATAATATAATCATCTTTGTCAGGAAAGAAAAATAAGTTCCCAAGCAAGTGTTCTTTTAGAGCAGTCTTTGAAATGTGAAGTGGGTTCCCTTCCAGGCCCTGCCCTTTAGTCACAAGGCTTTTATACCATGAAAAGGGAGAATAGTTGAGAATACTTTTTCGTTTTTCCCACTATTTGTCAATCCATCCATGTATGCTCGTATTACAAACTGTTCTTGTCAGTGTAGCGTAACAGTTAAGAGCTCAAGCTTAGGAGTTAGATAGATTCAGTTTCAATATGACTCCACTTAAAAACTTTGGACCATGATCCTCACTTTTCTCAGTTTATCCCTATTTCACAATAGAGATAAACTTTGCTTCAGGATTGTTGTAAAGATTAATTGAGGTAATACCTGTAAAGCATTTAGCACAGTGCCTTGCTTAAAGTGACTACTCAGTAGATAGGAGCTATAAATATATTGGCTGTTAGGTTGTCTTTCCTCAAATACACAAATTCCAGGCCAGGAGACTCCCTTTTCTGTGTCCTGGTATTGATTATTTTGAACTGATTTGATTGCAAAGTAATTTCCCTCTTAGAAACCACTTACATCTTACATATAGCCCCCTTTTCTAAACCTTAGTCTAATATGTTGAAATTTTGAAAGGTCATTCCTTTCCAGGCTTGCTGATCATATTCACTTTTTTTCTTCATAGCATTGTGCTTCTCAGTACTCGGAGCTTCTAGAGACCACTGAGACCCCAAAGTGAGTACAAAGCCAGGCACTTAAGCCAAATCTTTTTTTTTTTTCTGAGGAAGATTAGCCCTGTTCTAACTACTGCCAATCCTCTTTTTGCTGAGGAAGACTGGCCCTAAGCTAATGTCCATGCCCATCTTCCTCTACTTTATGTTTGGGATGCCTACCATAGCATGGCTTTTGCCAAGTGGTGCCATGTCTGCACCCGGGATCGGAACCAGTGAACCCTGGGCCGCCGAGAAGCAGAACTTGCGAACTTAGCCACTGCGCTACCGGGCTGGCCCCAAGCCAAATCTTTTTAGTGGAGAGTGTTTACTGAGGAAATCTGATTTATATCTATTTATATTACTGGGTGATAAAAGTATAGCAGAAGTTGTCTATGGTTAGGTCACGGAGGAGGCTCAAAGAAAGCAAGTGGGAGTGAGAACAAATGTTCTCTTGTTCAAATGTATGTGTCTTGTTTTTTGTTTTTTAATTTTCCACAGACGGAAAAGAGGTGAAAAGGGAGAAGTGGTAGAAACTGTTGAAGATGTCATTGTTCGGAAACTGACTGCTGAACGAGTTGAGGAACTAAAGAAAGTGATAAAGGAAACCCAGGAAAAATATAGGTACTTATTAGAGAGAATGCCAAATGGGTTGGGAGAGGCAAAAGAGGCTGACTTCTGATACTCATCAGAATTTTTTAAATAGCGGATTAAAAAACCCATTCTACTTACCTCTCTTTCTTCCTTACAGACGGCTGAAAAGAGATGCAGAACTAATTCAAGCTGGGCACATGGACAGCAGACTGGATGAGCTTTGCAATGACATTGCGATGTGTGTTATATTACATTGTTCTTCTATCTACTTCCTTTCTTTTTACTCCCTTTCTTCCTCAAGTAATCTGGCTTATTTCCTTCATCTTCCATCCCTTTAGACTTGAGAGATTCTAGAAAGGGAAAGCTGCAGAGTGGCCTGGTAGCTGGGAGGGGGATGTGAGTCCTGGAAAGTAATGTGATGGAACATTTCAATGTGAGAACATAACTTAGTCCTAACTTAAAAGTGGCTCTAGTTTGCCTGGGTAAAGAACTGGTAGTTAGGGGCCAGCCCTGTTTAAGTTCATTGCTCTGTTTTGGTGGCCCAGGGTTTCACTGGTTCAGATCCTGGGTGCAGACCTAGCACCGCTCATCAAGCCATTCTGAGGTAGCGTCCTGCATAGCAGAACTAGAAAAACTACAGCTAGAATATACAACTATGTTCTGGGGGGCTTTCGGGAAAAGAGGAAGAAAATAAAAGAACTGTTAGTTAGGCAGTGTACTCAAAATTCCCTGTTTTGCTGATAAAGATTCCTTTTTAGGCCTTTCCTTCAGAAAGTGCTAGCCTGGCAAAAAATTTCCTTGTGAGAGCACTGTGAGGAGGAGCTAGAGCTGGTTAGGATCTAACCCTTAATTCCTTCTTCAGGAAAAAAAAATTGGAGGAAGAGGAGGCTGAAGTAAAGAGGAAGGCTACAGATGCTGCATATCAGGGTAAGCTGAACCTAGTGACTGTTGAGCAATTGACTCTGCAGTACTGCACACTAATGAAAATTGAAGACTCTTTTGTAACAGAATCTACTAATTCCAATTTACTTGCATACTTTTCTCTGTCATCTTCTCTTTTACCAGAATAAAAATATCCCCTTTTGTCCAGGAGGAAGCTCTTAGAAAATTAGCTCTGCTCAGATCTCACTAGACTTTGTGTCCTTTTAGGACAAAAGGCTTGGTAATAAGACACTGAACATAATTAAGATTTTAGAAGTCAAAGGCCTGTAAAAAGATTGAGAATAGCTCAGTCGTTGGATAAAGGGAGGAAGTTAAGCATTTGTAACTCTAGGAATACATGCTTTGAGCTAATGAGGTCGTTTTCTCTTGTTAAAACAAAGCAGAATCCTAATAAGTTGTTGAAGAGGATATTGAGAGGTATTTAAATCACTTTCCTACTCCAAGGACCTTTGGGATAGCTAGTTAAGTGAATTTGCTTAGTGTAAAAATTACTCTTGGGAAAAGTCAGGCTAAAAAGTTACCTACCTCTCAGAAGCGTTAAAGACAGCTTTCTAATCCAAACTCATAATGCTACTTTAGTAATGCAGCATCCTTATTTGTCCTTTATTATGTAATAGCAGAGTAATGTTTAGTTTCATTTATTTAATCTTGAAGACTTAGAAATTGTTCTCTTATATGTTCTAGCTCGTCAAGCAGTAAAAACACCCCCTCGGAGGTTACCCACTGTGATGGTCCGCTCTCCTATAGATTCTGCCTCCCCAGGAGGTGATTATCCACTTGGGGACTTGACTGCAACCACTATGGAAGAGACGACCTCTGGGGTGAGTATATTTCCATCTGCAGGAATTAATCAGCAAAGGGACAATAAGCCAGCAGAGAGCTGAGTAATGAGGAAACCACTTTTGGCCTAGAGGCAACTTCCTCTCTTGGTGTGAATGTTATAGACTTAATTTACCATGTTCTATGCTCTAAGATAAGGATGGACCTAAAAACATTGAGGTTTTTGACCTTTTGAGAGATAGGTAAAAGACTATGTAAAAGAATTGTTTGTAAGTATACTAGTCTTATGAAATTCCTGATGAAATAAGGGGCAATTTTCTTGTAAATATAATAATTGCTGGTGGGAAAGGAGTTTGTAAAAGGCAGGTTGGTGGAATGGTTGGCTCATTGTGGGTTTGAATGGGTGGAAGAGAAAAAATTGTGGGCAAGAAAGGTGTGGCTGAGAGTAGGAGGGGTAGAGGGTTTTTGGGCATTTCCATTCAGCACTAATAAAGTAATAGTTAGACACACTAACCCATCCAGATTAGTAGGGAACCTTCCAGAGTTTGAGAAGTCAGATAAAGGTTCTCTGTTGTCTCTTAGGTAACCCCTGGGACTTTGCCGAGTACCCCAGTCACCTCGTTTCCTGGGATTCCTGACACCCTTCCTCCAGGCTCTGCACCCTTAGAAGCCCCCATGACCCCAGTAACAGATGATTCACCCCAGAAAAAGATGCTTGGACAGAAAGCAACTCCACCCCCCTCCCCTCTGCTGTCAGAGCTCTTGAAGAAGGGCAGCCTCCTGCCTACTAGCCCCAGACTGGTATGGAGACTTCTGTGGGTGTTTGAGAGCTGTGGTGATTTAGTACTTTGGAAGGGAGTGCCTGGGACCTAAAATATGACATGGAAAAAAAAAAAGTTCAAAAGAGGACGAGATCTCCTAGTTAAATATTAATTAAAACGAAATTAAAAAACCTAAAAATTAAAAACCAAAAACAAAAAACAGTAAGTTGATAGTATCCTTGGGTCCTGAGGTATCTGAAACCCGAATTATCTTGGTTCTCTTCTCCAGAGAACTCTTGTCAAATAAGTTTTGAAAATTAGAGTTTCCCGTGGGTCTGAAATTATTCTCTTTGGATATTAACTTTTAGTTTCATGAAGTTTGGTCAACTGCTGGAGCGTTTTTGGGAAGTGGTAGTAAAGGAAATCTTGAGTGTAGCCTTCACCTCTATTCTTCCTTGGTAGGTCAATGAGAATGAAATGGCTGTGGCTTCTGGCCACCTGAACAATACAGGTGTCCTCCTGGAGGTAGGCGGGGTCCTTCCCATGATACATGGTGGGGAGATGCAGCAAACAGCCAACACTGTTGCAGCCTCCCCTGCTGCCTCAGGTAAGTCGCCACTTTTCTGTTATCTGCTTTACTTTAAAGATATTGAACTTGACATTGACTGCCCTTGGTTTCTAGCCTTTGTGACTAAGCAACTGTCAATCTTAAATATAAAGCCCAACCCGGTGCTATTTTACCTGTTAAACCATATAGCGCTCCACATTGTAAATCCATTCCATCTTCAAAATAATGATAGCCCTGGATGACCACAGCATAGATATTGATGAGAGCAATAGTGAAGTTAATAGTGAAGCTGCTTCTCTGGGGCTTATAAAATCATGGAAGAGTGCTAGAGAGATCTGAGATTATAGAATAGGGGGATGAGATTTGGAACCAGAGAACTGGACTTGAGTCTTAGGCCTGCCACACACTGGCTTCGTGACCTTGGATTGGGTGAATGAACTCTCTAGTCTCAGTTTCCTCTTTTATTAATTGCAATGAATGTACTTCACAGGGATGTAGTGAGAATTAAATAAGGTAGAAAATGCAAAGTGAAAAAAAAAAGCTTTGCAATGTACCAAACAAACATTAGATACTGGTATTTGAATGGTGTTGAATTTGGGTGGTTTACAGCATGCTTACCTTCAGCAGAAGTGACAGATTTATTCATACCAGTTTTTTGTGTGTGGGTGGGGTGTTTTTTGGGGTTTTTTTTGGTTATTGTTTAATTTTCTTCTGAGAAAAAAATCACCACCCATTTTTCGTATACATTGTGTGGTCTAGTGCTTTGGGTCATTCCTAACTGGGCAGGTTTTAAGTAAGTTTGGAGAAAGTAAGGATATAGATAATAAGCTTATTCAACAGAGGAATTGCTTTCATCCTTTGAGACTAAAAGTTTTCTTGGTTGAATCTTAAAATGGCTATTGCTGCTTGTTCATGTGCTTTCTTTTTACCTCATTTTGTCTACCTCTTTGTCTGTTAGGTGCTCCCACTCTTTCCCGGCTTTTAGAAGCTGGTCCTACACAGTTCACCACACCTCTTGCTTCCTTCACTACTGTTGCCAGTGAACCTCCAGTTAAACTTGTGCCACCTCCTGTAGAGTCTGTGTCCCAGGCTACCATTGTCATGATGCCTGCGCTGCCAGCACCATCCTCTACTCCGGCTGTCTCCACTCCTGAGAGTATAGCTCCAGGTGCGTCCCTGACCCACGCCCTGAGCAGCCACTAGGTCCAAAATTTCATCTTGAGCTTTAGTTAAAGAAAAGTGACCAAGTGCATCAGCTCCAATTCAGATACTTCTGTTCTCTTCTCCATGGATATATGCCATCTTTATCCTTAGGAAAACAAGCATGTGAGAAGAGGTGGGTGGGCATTTATGTGTTGGGGGAAGAACACTAAGTATACATATAAGTGGGCTTGAGAATGGGTTCTCACCTTAACTTTCTAGAGAAAGCTATAGAGAAGAAAACATAGGCAGATGTAAGATAACTTTTTGAGCTTTAGTGTATGAGTACTTGACATTTGTCTGCAGCCTTGGCCTGATCTCCAGGTGGTCACTTAGTACCAAATAAGCTTCTGAGATGCTTTTCTCTTCCTGTTACTCAGTGAGTCAGCCTGACACCTGTGTTCCCATGGAGGCTGTGGGGGATCCACATACTGTGACTGTTTCCATGGATAGCAATGAAATCTCCATGATCATCAATTCTATCAAAGAAGAATGTTTCCGATCAGGGGTAGCAGAGGACCCTGGAGGATCAAAGGCTCCCAGCATAGATGGGAAGGAAGATTTAGATCTGGCTGAGAAGATGGATATTGCTGTGTCTTATACAGGTGAAGAGCTGGACTTTGAAACTGTTGGAGACATCATTGCCATCATTGAAGACAAGGTAACTATTCAGCAAAGCCTAAAAGAATCTCTCATGGGTCCTACATAGGCTTCTCTCCTCAGCCTCTCCTTGCTTCTCGTAGTAAGAATTATGTAAGCAAACAAGTCTTCTGCTTCTTCCCATCACCATCTCTGTAGTTTCAAAGCCCTTTGGTACTGACATAGTAGTTGTCTCCCCAGCCATCCTTATGTTACTAGTTTATACAGGACAGGTACCTGTCCATTGGTTGCTTCTACTACTTGGAGAAGATGGAGAGAGAAGCTGCAGATTCAGGCCATCTCATTTGGTGCTAACAGAATTGAGGGACTTGGGCTTCTTTCTGTGACTTCAACAGTGTATGTATTATGGGACAGGTAGATGATCATCCTGAAGTGCTGGATGTGGCAGCAGTGGAAGCAGCACTTTCATTCTGTGAAGAGAATGATGATCCCCAGTCCCTGCCTGGACCCTGGGAGCACCCTATCCAGCAGGAGCGGGACAAGCCAATGCCTCTCCCTGCACCAGAGATGACGGTCAAGCAAGAGAGGCTGGACTTTGAGGACACAGAAAACAAAGGAATTCATGAACTGGTGGACATCAGGGAGCCCAGTGTTGAGATCAAAATGGAACCTGCAGAACCAGAGCAAGGGATTTCAGGGGCTGAAATAGTAGCAGGAGTTGTTCCAGCCACAAGTATGGAGCCACCGGAACTCAGGAGTCAGGACTTAGACGAGGAACCCAGAAGTACTGCAACTGGAGAGATTGCTGAAGCAGATGTTTCCAGTGGGAAAGGCGATGAGACTCCACTTACAGCTGTAAAGACAGAGGTATTTAAGATCAGGGGCTGGAAGGATGGAGGGTTATACCTTAGGTAAGAAGTGACAGTTTAGGCCTTTGGTTTTCCTGTTTCATTCCTGAATTCTGACATGTTTGATGTGTCCAAGGCACATAGATGTGATCAGTACTATATATACTTATCCTATTCCTGTTAAGGTGACCATTAGAATCATGTTATGTGGGTAGAACTTAGAATTTCTTCTATGGTCTCATCATTGAAGAATAAAATTGTATAAGCTGTAGTGATTTACCAGTACTTAGTGTATTTGTTCTTTTTGGTCTTCAGGCATCCCCTGAAAGCATGTTGTCTCCATCACATGGCTCAAATCCCATTGAGGATCCTTTAGAGGCAGAGACTCAGCACAAGTTTGAAATGTCAGGTAAATAATGCCAGGAAATCTATATTCTGTAACTAACTTGAAATCGTTTGCTTTGGCTTTTGAGGGATTTTGTGGGTTGTGGGCAAGTAGAGGAGGCAGAATAGGTCAGCATGGAAAGGAGAGCTGCAGGGGATTATTGTCCATAGGAAGGGGAAGGCTAAGGTGGAAAAATCTTCAGGTAGTCTTTCTCTCCTCTGCAGACTCATTGAAAGAAGAATCAGGGACTATTTTTGGAAGCCAGATAAAGGTATTTCAGACTTTTCTTTATCCCTCTTGCTATGTGACTAGATTTCCCTATAGCACTACCTTTTTCATGAATTTCAGTAAACTCCCATCCAGTTAAGGAGTTGCATGGCGAAAAGCTGCAGTGGACAGTCAGGCATAGGGGGAGTTCTATGGCAACATGTGCTTCCCATCTGAAAGAGTTTGTGAATGTCACACAGACCTTTCTTTGCATATAATGCACAAAGAAGCTTTGATACATCCAAAGTGATTTGGAGTGAATAGGGATACCAGAGCCAGCGAGAACATATAAGAAATCAGATTATTAATTACACTATCCAGAGAAAAATCATTCAGCGTTTTCCTTTTAGAATTACTAAGCGGTAGTAATAAACAGACTTAAAGTAATGTGATGTGAGCTTGCTCCATCAGATGAGACACAAAATAAAACTATTTTTGATAACTTTGTACCCAGGGTCAGAGTTCCTCTCAAGAGCAAGGGGAAAGAAGGAACGCCTCTTAGCTTAGTCTTAAGTAAGTAGCTTTTTTTTTCTTCCTTTTAAAAAGATCCTGGGTCTTATTCTTTGTCCAGGTTCTGAATTACTTGATCAGTCAGTGTCTGTAAGTAGATGGTAGTATAAGTGATAGAGGTCTCAGTCAGGAAACAGTGTGAGGCCATTTTACAGAAGTGAGCTAACCCAAAGACAGATCATTTTTAATGACGCTTTGCTGGATAGCTTTGCTTGCATTTGTTGACTGGAGCACACTGTGTCTAAGGATGCCCCAGGTGAGGATGAGGAGGAAGATGGAGTCAGTGAAGTGGCCAGCCTAGAGGAGCCTAAGGAAGAAGATCAAGGAGAAGGCTATTTGTCAGAAATGGATAATGAACCCCCTGTGAGCGAGAGTGATGATGGCTTTAGCATACACAATGCTACGCTGCAATCCCACACACTGGCAGACTCCATCCCCAGCAGCCCTGCTTCTTCGCAGTTGTGAGTATCTGAGATTCTTTCTTTGAGGTCAAGGCAGTGAAGGTGAGAAGGAGGAGAGGATCTTTTCTTTAATCTTACTTTTTCTTCTTCCCTTTCTTGGCCTGGAACAAACAGTTGACAAGAAATAATTAGGACTTTTTTTTTTGACTTATGCCTAGTGGGGCTCATATATTTCTTTTATTTCAGTTCTGTCTGTAGTGAGGATCAAGAAGCTATTCAGGCACAGAAAATCTGGAAGAAAGCCATCATGCTTGTATGGAGAGCTGCAGCTAATCATAGGTGAGTGGGCTTTACCAATCAGTGGGAACATTTTCTTCTGCTGCTCCTCATTGTTGGTGACTAGAAAAAAGTCTGAGTTGGCTTATATGGGCCTGGGGGCATTGGCTCTTACAACTTTCAGCTGCTTAGATCAAGTTCCCTCACCTGTGCTTCTGGAGGATCGCTAAGTCAGTAATTGTACCTTATTCTTTTTGGACAGGTATGCCAATGTCTTCCTGCAGCCTGTTACAGATGATATAGCACCTGGCTACCACAGCATTGTACAGAGGTAAGCCATGATCTGTTCAGCATGCTGTCTTGCCTGAATTATAAGTTGTCTAGGCTTGGTGGATTTTTGCTTTAGACTGTTAAGTTTAAAGCAGATGTTTTTTGCTGTGAGTAAGGGTGACCAATCATTTGGTCTGATCATTTCAGTGGCTGGATCACCAATGATAGTCTAAAAGAATTAACCCCCTTTATTACCTTTCTCAATACTTAATTTATAGACTGACTTTGGTTTTTGGGTTAAGTGCATGTTTTGGGGTGAGGGGTTAGCATTTGAGTCCTGCCAGCTAAGACTGCCAGGTTGATATGGTAATAATACATTCAGGGATCTAGTTGAGTCCTCTTCCCTTCTCTGTGCCATTTACCCCTGTTCTTTTTTTAGGCCTATGGATTTGTCAACTATTAAGAAAAACATTGAAAATGGACTGATCCGTAGCACAGCTGAATTTCAGCGTGACATTATGCTGATGTTCCAGAATGCTGTAATGTATAATAGCTCAGACCATGATGTCTATCACATGGCAGTAGAAATGCAGCGAGACGTCTTAGAGCAGATCCAGGTACTTTGAGGATCTTTAGTGTTTTAGCAAGGTTGAAATGCAAATACTCAAGGGAAGGATTCATATTGATGTTAGAAAGGGGTGCAGTGGCTTTTACTTGAAATAGCATCAGGAACACAGGAACATAAAATTTTGTTCTTGCTGGATTCATGTTGGTTTTCTCATGTTGGTTTGGTGAAAGTTGTGGGAGAATATGGCCATGCCCATGGCCTGCAGTCATGCATTCCTTAATGACGAGGATCCATTCTGAGAAACGCCTCATTAGGTGATATTTTTGTTGTGCGAACATCATAGTATATACTTACACAAATCTAGACGGTATAGCCTACTACACATTTAGGCTATATGTTACTAATCTTATGGGACCACTGTCGTATATGGAGTCCGTCACTGACCGAAATGTGCAGTGCATGACTATATTCAACCCTTCTTGGGTAATAGCTTTAGTTTCATGGAGTTTTTAAATAAAATTTTTATAAAATGCTGAATGTATATTTTTAAATTACATTAAGTATGTACCTAGCAGACAATCATCAGATAGAGTTTCTTTTCCCTTTTCATCACAGATAACCTATTTGTATCCTGCAGTTGCATTGCCAGGCACCCTTGGCATATTGAACTTGGGATATTGATCTTGAAGGGATGTTGTCTATCTCTGCAGTCTGCCAAATTACTTAAATTGCTGAATGATTTTTGGTTCATCTAGTTTTATTCTCTTTCTCATTATTAGAGCAGAGAGGTTTTTTGTTTTTTGTTTTTTGTTTTTTTAAGGAAGATTAGCCCTGAGCTAACGTCTGCTGCCAGTCCTCCTCTTTTTGCTGAGGAAGACCGGCCCTGAGCTAACATCCGTGCCCATCTTCCTGTACTTTATTCGTGGGATGCCTGCCACAGCATGGGTTGCCAAGTGGTGCCGTCTGCACCCGGGATCCGAACCGGTGAACCCTGGGCCGCCAAAGCGGAATGTGCACACTTAACCACTGTGCCACTGGGCCGGCCCCTAGAGTAGAGAGATTTTGATCCTATATTATAGCAAAAAAAAGTTAGAGCCCTTTGCATTTTCAGATTCTTTGTCATGCACAACTAGAATTAAAACCTAATATGCTGAACTTCTAATCAGTCAATATGTATTTGAATGCTGTTTGCAGAAGGATACTATACAGAGTCCTTCTTACAAAACCCAAGTTGTCTTAATTCTTCCCTACTGGATCAGGTCTCTAAGGCCAACCCTATTTCTTCTACAGCAATTCCTGGCCACACAGTTGATTATGCAAACATCTGAGTCTGGGATCAGTGCTAAAAGTCTTCGAGGGAGAGATTCTACCCGCAAACAGGATGCTTCAGAGAAGGTGAGGAGACCAAGAAAGAGCCTATGTGCTAGTGTTCACTGCCAGAAGTCTGAAGCATCCAAGGAACCTTGTGTTAGTACTTGGTATTGCTGGACTTCTACGTTCCAACAGTGTATAGACATGTAGATCTTAGAATGGTGGTGGTTTGCTTCCATCCAAACATTGAAGAAACTTGCTGTGACTGGAAGGCCCAGTCACATGGGAGAAATTGTGAGCTGAGTGAGTGAATTATTAATTCCTCTGAGAGTGTGCTCGCAAGGTGGGGGAAATGACTTAGCTTGCAGCAGTTGGGGACCATCAGTTTGTGTTCTAGAGGCATAATGGCCAGATTGCTTTTGGATCTCTTTCCTCTTGTTCTTGAGTTTTTAAATTTTGTCTTTGTGTGTGTGTGGTGCTTATGTCTCTGTCCTGAGGTTTGGGGTGCTTGCGGCTGAAAGTTTCCGTGGAACCTGATCAGTGTTTGTTTGTCCTCTAACAGGACAGTGTCCCCATGGGCTCTCCTGCCTTCCTTCTCTCTCTCTTTGTAAGTATTGAATGGCTGCAAGGGGCGGTGTTGCCACAAAGATTCTCAGCTCCTGCTGGGGGTGGGTGGCAGAGGGAAATTGAACATGCAGACTGTGGCAGTGTCTTGAACTTCTGTTTATTCAGGTCATGGAATAAGAAACTGTGTCGTCTTCCGCATTCCTGTCTTTCTGCATGTGTGTGTGTGTGTTCTGGGTAGGACTGTTTATGAGTTCCCTGGGCTGAAATAAGGTATTCTTGGTAAGGATCTAGGATGCACCTGCTCCTCATTTCTTGACTCCACCTTTTGCCAATTCTTTTCTTACAAGTGGAAGATTGCTTAGAACAGCAGCTGCTAGCTGGCTTTTTAAAAAATGTTCCTTATACCACCAGATATTCAGCACATAGTTCTTTTTGCTTTTTCCCTAATACTAAGTTGCAAGACTGATGCCTGAGACACAAATTTAAGATAAAGATCTCAGTAACAATGACCAATGCATACAATAGTGTCTGGTGGAATTAGAGATAAGCTTATTAGCAAAGATAGTCTAAAGACTTTCAGTCTTTTCTGCCATGAATTGAATGACTCTGTGACTCTGTTGTTCATTATGGGGCACTGAGGCATGATGTAATGGAAGGGCATCAGGCTAGAAAACCACATGATCTTAAATTCACCAGATTATCTCTTGGAGCCTTGTTTTCCTCATCTGTGTGATGGAGCTAATATAATGAGGTACCTGTCCAGCCTACCTCACAGGGATGTTGTGAGGGTAAAATAAGATAATAGATATGGAACTGGCTTGAAAAAAAATTAAAGTGCTATACAAATGCAAGGTGGTATTTTTATTCTTACTGTTGTCTCAAAGGCAACTTGTGTTCATGAGCTCTAAAAATTTTAGAGTCCTTGCCTGTTAGAAATGTAAAAATGGCCTGGCCCAGCAAAAGTGTTCACTAGTTCATCTCGCCTACAGGCCTCAGCCTGTACCACGGACAGAACACTATAATCTCCATTCTTTCTTGTTGGCCTGCAACAGTGACTCTGGATCCCCAAGCAATTGGCTGGCTGTTGCAAGGCTGGTTAATAGGATCTTTTATCTATTGAAGACAGCAAAATATTGCACAAGAGGAAGGAGCTGGGCTGCAGGGAGAGAGCAGCAGATGGAAAGAAGCCTTCTGATTGTCCTGATCTCATGGAAAACAACTGTCAGGAGGTGCTAGGGAACTAGTGCCAGGGTCAGTCTGCAGGAAAGGCCTTTCTTATAGGGACCAACAGCTGGACAGGTATGTTAGCCAAGAATCTCACTATCCACTGCCCTTTCTGACTCTCCCACCTTTCTTTTACTCTTCCTGTTCCTTTGTATATGATTTGGGGCCTGGGTGGGATGACTGATAGTCATTCTGTGGGACCCCAGGTAAACTCTGGCGCCCTCTTTGGTGGGCAGGAGCACGACTCTCTGTCCTCTATTTCCTCTTACAAACTACTACCAGGTGCTTTTTAGCCTACTCTATGGGAAGACAGATATATATACCCCTCATTTCCTGGATTTTTCTGCTGATTCTCTTCCCCACTCCCCCAAAAAACCAAATCCCCAGCATTCTTGTTGCACCTTCTCTGTTACTTCCTAACCAACTCATTCATGCTGCCTTTCTTTGTTTGCCTCTCATTTAGGATGGGGGAACCCGGGGCCGTCGCTGTGCCATTGAAGCAGATATGAAGATGAAAAAATGAAGCCTCAGAGTACGCTCATCAGGCTGAACCTGAAATAGAAGTAAACAAGATAGAGCTTGGGCTTGTGGGCCCAGTTCCAGAAGTGGAAGTTACAGAAGAGGAGGCGCCTGGGCCATGTGACATGAACTGGGAAAATCTCTTTCAGAGAGTTGGAGTAACACAATTGCCTGTTTTAGGGCAAAAATCATGGGCTGTGTTAATGTCCTACTGTGTAGCTAGCAGATTGTAGCTAGTTTGTACTGTCTTGTGAAGTGTACAGACTTTTTTTAAAAAAACTCTGTGAAATGTGTATGTATACAATAAACTCTGAAAGAAAAGAAAACTCTAGCCTTGGTGTGTTCTTTGTGTGTGTGTATGTGTAACTTGTGATTTCTTCTGCATAATAACTTTCATCATTTGTGAGAGTGAGATTGTTAGAGGGGATAGTGGTCTTGTAGTATGAATTGTTCTTCTACAGCTCAGAGAAGGTAAGTAACCAAGATTGAATTTATAATTAATATTTTAAAGTGTTGCATTGTACAATAAGGACTATATTATTCAACTTTTCTTGAATTTTTGGGAAAACTTAAGGTTTTCAGAGTTCTGTTCCTGGCATTGTTTAAAGAAGATTTGAGCATGGATGTGGGTAGCACTGATTTTTATCCCGGACATTTGTCCTCCTTAATACTATCTTTGCAGGTGGTATTTCTGGGATAGTATTTTACTATTCCTTCTATCTTTTTCTCTGTGTAGGGTTCTTGTGTGTTTTAGAATTCATACCATTGATGTTTGAAGGCTAAACTCAGTTTAAGAGTTAGCAAATTTATCACCTGAGTTTATTCCCACTTCTCTTATTAAGTAAAAACTATCTCAGTGAAATGAATTAGTTAGAAGTCTTATTATAAAGAGATGGAGATTGATAAAGTATTATCTAGTACTTTGAGCCTTCTTGAGAAAGATGGGTTTTAGAAAGATGATTAGAAGTCACAGATCTTTTTGGCTTAGAACTAAAGCTTGTTAGGATACTAAGGAAATAGAAGATACTGTCCTTGTGAGGTGAGAGAGAGGAGTTCAGTCAATCTAGGAGTTAGTTAGAAAATTAAACAACTACAGGATATTCCCAAAACAGTCTGCAAACATGCATGTGAAGTAAGCAATGAAACCCTGAAGGTTGGAGAAGTTTGTGGAGGAGGTGGTCCATTAAAGGACACAGATTTTGAGTTGGTAGAGAAGGTGATGGATGAGCTTTAGCAAGCTGAGTTGAAGGTATAGGCATCTGTGGTGGGAGCAATAAGGAGACCAATGTCATTAGAAGGGATCATATTAAGGAATAGTGAAGTACAGATAACTGGGCCAGTGGGACAAAATAGGGCTTAACGTATGTAGGACTTTGAGTGGCAGATTGAGAAATTTATATCTGAGGTGATAGTTACTGTAAAGCCTTGATTAGGGAGGCTGTCTGTTCAGAGTAGATTGGATTAAAGATAAATGACCAGGAGGCTGTGGCATTTATTTAGGAACAAAGGATGAGCATTGAGAAAAACTGGAAGAAAATTGGGAAGTAGACTTGCTTACTGAATACAAGAGAAGGAAGAGTCAAAACAGGATTAAGAAAATAGTGTTGATAAGGATAAAGAAATTGGGGAGAGCAAATGATTTTGGAGATATTCAGGAAGAAAAGTGATTTTAGTTTTAGAAATGCTGAGTTGAAGTAGGATAGGATACCTAAAGGGAATTGACTTTTGGGTACATGGGGAAGTGAGACCAGAATGCATATAAGAAGTAAAGGTGGAGAGATTTGGGAGCCACTTGAATAGAGATCAAAGTTGAAACCTCAGTTTTTTAAGGAAGCATGAATAAGGAAGCAGAGGACCAAGCAAGAACATAGAAGACAAAGATTTATTGAAAGTTGTAAAAGGTAGAGGACAAAGGGGTAAGAAAGCCAAGGTAGTGTAGTGTAATGAAAGCAAGGGAAGATATTTTAAAAACTTGATGCTGCGGTTCTCATTCTGAGAAGTCAGAGTTGGATATGACCAGAAGGATGCCACAGGTAATCTTAAGGTGTGCTTTGAAGAGTCAATGGTTGATAGGTTAAAAATGTCTATATGCTGAGAAAGAATCCTTTGTTCCTCAAATTTATTGCCTTGCCATTGAGTTTAAGGGTGATTTGGGATAGAGGACTTCTGTTCAGTTAGCTATGCTCTAGTTTTTTCTCTTCCAGTTGTTCTCATACTCTTTTGGAGTATGAGGAAATCCAAGAAAAAATAATTATTGGGTAACACTGTTTGACGTGGGGCTTTTTCTTTATTCCCAGTGACAGATCATTTGGTCTCCCGGTGTCTCCCTTCAGCTAGCTTTTACTCTTCCTAGTAATGACTGGAAAGAAACTTCTGGCTCCTTATCTTTCTCCTGAACTTGGGAGATGGAAATGCCTTAGGGATATTGATCTGAGTGAATGAAATGCATCTTTTTCTGTGTATTTACAGATGGGACATGAGTGGGTTTGGTTGGATTCTGAACAAGACTATTCGAATGACTCTGAGTTGAGCAACGACTGCAGGTCCCTCTTCAGCTCATGGGACTCCAGTCTGGATCTTGATGTGGGCAGTTGGAGGGAAACTGAGGAGCCAGGTGCTGAGGAACTAGAAGAAAGCAGCCCAGAGAGAGAACCTAGTGAGCTGCTTTTGGGGGATGGAGGCAGTGAAGAATCTCAGGAAGAGGCAGAGCAAGTCAGCTGCCAGAACCTCCTCCACTTTCTCTCTGAGGTAATGGGGAGCCACTATTCCCAAAGTTGGAAAAGTCTCAACTTTCTGAGAGAATGCTTACCTGTACACATTTCTACCACTCTTAATACTGTTTACTAAAATGAAAGCTCCACAGTGGCAGGGACTAAGTTCATTGCTGTGTCTTCAGCACTTGGTGCTAATACAAAATATGTGCCAAATATGTACTTTTTGACTGAATGTTCTAAGACCCCAGTTATTAGGAGCCTGAGTCATAGGAAATGGAATTTCGGTATGCAGGACTGCCTTATGAGTATCCTTGCAATTCGTTCTTTCAGAGTCAGGGGAGGTGACACCCAAACTCTCCTTGAAGCTTATAACATGATGACTTCAAGGCAGTATTTTACAGAGTCCTTATTACCTGGTTAAGGGCTGAGGACCAGAAATGAACAGAATTGGAAAGAGAGTTTATATTTATGTGGCAACTGCACACATTCAGGAGAACCTAGGTCAAGATCAGCAAGAATCCAGTTAAAATGTTGCCACTTCTATCTGCATTCTGCGTCAGACAAAATTTTCCGCAGTTTTGTAGACAGCCACTCTCAACTGATCAGAGTTGACACTTGAGCTGAAAAATTAGAACATAAGCTCCTTGAAGAACCAAGAACCATATCAATCTTGTTTTCTGTTAGGTCCCTAGCAACTAGTCCAGTGCCTGTGTATAGAAGATATTTGATAAATTTTAAATGATTGAATGAATGAATTAACCTATTTGCCGTCTCAGACTTAGTCACAGGGGCAGTATAATCATATGGCATTATTGATATGGATGATGATTTCCATTGGTGTTCCTATGCATCTAACAATAAACTATGATTGCAGGTAGCCTATTTAATGGAGCCATTATGCATTAGTAGCAAAGAATCAAGTGAAGGCTGCTGCCCTCCATCTGGTACCAGACAAGAGGGAAGGGAAATTGAAGCCGCTGAAGGAGAAGGGGAGCCCTTCAGAGAGCCTGAAGAGCTTTCAGCCAAGGTAGACCCCTTGGTAGTTGAAAAGAGGTCACTGGGAGAAAATAGAAGCCTGGAGGTGGCTCCAGCTCCTTCAGATATTTGTGCAGTTCAGGGACTACCCACAGAGAGTGAAGAGGTAAGTGAATAATTTAAACCAGCAGTCAGATTGGTCCTCCACACAGGGAAGCAGAACAGCGTGGTTAGAGCACATAGGCTAACTCCTGAAGTTCAGCTAACCTGGGTCCAGATCCTGGTTTCAGCACCAATTAGTTGTGCCACCTTAGGCATGTGAGTGAACATTTTAGAACCTCAGTTTACTCTGCTGTAAATGGATTATAGTGTTCTTTCCTCACAGGTTTGCTGTGAGGTTTAAATGAGACAATTCATTTAAAGCACTTAGCATAGTGCCTGGCTTATAGTAAGCAATCAGTAAAATTTAGAGTGCCATTATCATTAATATTATCTGACCAGCTAGACTAGTTAGCTCCAGGGCCACAAGTGATAATGGCAGTTTTAAAAGAATGCAGCATCCGTCTAGAATTGAATTTATTGCTTTTTCACTTTTTCTTGGGGTACAAAGTTCTCCAGCAAGATTGTTACCAATAATTCACTGACAGGTCTAGTTAAGTCACCTTTTTCTAATTTCTTTTATAGCTTTATATAATTGGCCTTTTCTCACCTTAAAGTCAACCTTCCTTTACCCCATACAAGTAAAATTACCTTGCAGATAGTAAATCTCTTTCTAAAGTTTCCTTTGTTTCTTGGCATTCCCAGGGGGAGGTTCAGCAAGAATCCAAAGAGGAGGACCTGGGTGAAGGGTATGTGTCAGAGATGGAAGACCAGCCCTCTGCAGGTGAGTGTGATGATGGCTTCAGCATTCCGGAGACTCCTCTGGTGGATATCCTTTTCAGTCGTGCTACCTCCTCAAAGCTGTAAGTATAGATTTTTATCCGAGGCTCTTAAGTTTCATACTTTTACTTCTATTTATGCCCATTTGAATTTCTTCCCAGGAACATGGATTACTTTTGTAAATTAAAAAAAAGGCAATTAGAGTTGGAAAACAGTAGCAATAGAATTAAGTATAATTTTATTGTATAACTAGAAGTCTGTATGCTTTTCTTTTATAAAACAAGTCTGTTTCATCAACATTAAGAATCTCTTTTATAAATAACCCTTCTCTCTAATTGCTTTCTATTTATTTAGGAAACATTGCTGCATCAGATTGTACCTTAAGTCTAATGTTATGCAAACTATCCTTTTAAATATGCTAAAACAGCTCCTATTAACTTGAAATTCAAAATTATTTTAAAGTTATCATCTCCGTTCTTTCTTTTTCACGAATCTTGGGAAATTGTTTATATAATAGTCTCATCTTTTTATAAATAATTATGAGGCTAAGGGCACATTTTAGAATCTTAATTTTTCCTAAGTGAATTTTTTTTAAATCAGAAAAACAAAGTTTATTGGTTTTTTTTTTTTTTGAGGAAGATTAGCCTTGAGCTAATATCTGCTGCCAATCTTCCTGTTTTTGCTGAGGAAGCCTGGCCCTGAGCTAACGCCCGTGCCCATCTTCCTCCACTTTATATGTGGGATGCCTACCACAGCATGGCTTGCCAAGTGGTGCCATGTCCACACCCGGGATCCGAACCAGTGAACCCCGGGCTGCCGGAGAGGAACATGCGAACTTAACCGCTGCGCCACTGGGCCGGCCCCTAAACAAAGTATTTTTGTTATGGTAATAAATAGTTCTGTTTCTGGGCCTAGCCTTGTATCTATCTATTGAGAGAAGATAACATGATCTCTCTTTTTTTTTTCCTTTACTACATCCCAGATCCACCCACATTATCTGTGGAAAGGCAAGCAAATAGTTATTCTAGCCTTCTTTTGTTTAAGATACCGAACCATGCATATATATTTTTTTAAATAGCAGACTTTAAATTTTGGTTACGCAGAAAGAATACAGCTTAAAATCTAGGTTGTTGAAGAATTGCTTCCTTTGCTTTTCTGTAACTCCCTGTGTAAGTATGAGCAGCTGGCCTATTATGACTATTCAAAAAACAGGAAATCTCTAATCTGGGACATTTTCTTTCATAACATTTCAGCATCTTGAATGGCAAACTACACACTCTTATCTTAGAAATTAGATTAAACACAAAATCTTTATTAGAACGCAATAGATAGTAGTAATTGAGTCTGCTTGGCCAGATAGTTTAAGGGGAGATAGAAAGCTGAGTTCTTGTCTAATCATTGGGGAAGCTTAAAACTTCTTTGAAAGATAGACATTCTCCAAGTGCCTCTTTTCTGGCTTCTCCCTTAGTTTGTATTGACTCGCAGGAGTAAAGAGAAGTAGAGCCTTTGTAGCACCAGTCCAAGTCTGTAGGTCCTTTCCACTCCCACACTTTTACTTGTAGTTTTTTGACATGCATTTCTAAATACATAGAGATAAAGGTAAGCAAGGGATTATTTCTTAAAACATTGCAAAGGTGATTGATTATGAGGTTACAGAACCTAGCGCAGCACCTTTCACATAATGGAAACTTACTAAATATCTGTTGCGTTGGTGTATGAACAAGATTGCACCATACCAAGGAGCTATTGTTCATTCTGGTTTGCTGACTAGAAACAAAGGAAGATGTTTGTTTTAGGCTTTACCTGCCTTGTTTTGATAGGGTTCTGGGTTTAAGGGTATGTTGATTTTTGTGGTATGTAATTTAGATGAGGTGAGATGTTGCATCATGAAAATGAGTAGTTATGTAGAGTTGCTCAAATTGGATAAAAGTAAAACGAGATGTGAGTTGTGCTCAAATGAACGCACACAATACAGTACATAAAGCAAAATGAGGGTGCAAAACCTTAGGTGTGAAGAGAGCCCATTTAGAGAGTATAATGTAGTGTGTAAAGTGGGAAGTGCAACATGATGTTTAACTTTGGAGTAAACAGAAAACTTGCCAACTGGGAAAACTATAAAATGACATAAAACATTGCAGCTCCAGAGAAAAACTAAATAAATTAGGCAGTTTAGCCCAGAGAAGGAAGGGCCCTGAGGAGAAATGAATTTTTCTTAGGTATTTTAACTATTACTATATAGAAGAGAGTGAAAAGGAAAAATGTTTAAATTGTAGCATTCAGATGAAACATAAGAGAATTCCTTGGAATGTGAAACCAAGTATTTCTTTCTCTGGAAGTATAGGAGAAATACTTATTAATGTGGCATATTTCTGCATAAAAACAGGATCAGATTCATTTATTAAATACTTAATCGAGCACCTACTATGTGCCAGGCACTTGTGAAACATCAGTGAACAAAGATCACTTTCATAGACCAGTTCTTTAGAGTCACAGGTGCTGAAGAGCAAATCAGCAAGTCCAAGAGGCAATTGTAGATTTGTAGTATGCTTTATGAAGTAACCACTTCATTCGATAATAGTGACCAATGAGAGAATACTTACAGAATTTGGGGTCTCTTATGGAAGCATTAAATATGTTTTTATTCTTATGGTGTTATTTCCTTCAGATGTTAACTAGGAACACTATGTGTTGAGAAAACTTCTTTGCCCACCTTGGGGAGACAGAATACCATTTGTGAAGTTACTGTTTCTTTTCTGTCCTATTTTGTCCCATAGGTCTGATCTAGGCCAGAGTGACCCTGTTCAGGATCATTTGCTATTTAAGAAGACTCTCCTGCCAGTCTGGAAGATGATTGCCAGTCACAGGTAGGTCTCTTAGCCATTCTTGGCATTCACAGCCACACTTCTCGTTTAGAGCAACTTTCCAGAATTTCTTCATCCTCTCTTGGTTTGTCCTTTAACAGGTTCAGCAGTCCATTTCTGAAGCCTGTGTCAGAAAGGCAGGCCCCAGGATACAAGGATGTGGTGAAAAGGTCAGTGGAAAAGGGGTCAAGAAAGGTTGGTTGCTTTTATATATGTCTTTTCATATTTTGTTTCCCATCTATTAGATTATGTCCTTATTTCATTTACATTACTTACAAATTCAAGATGTATTTTATAGCTGAATAAGTTTGTAAAGTTATGGTGAGCTCAGTCTTCATTTGAGAAGGAAGGCAGGGAACAAAAGGATAATATAGGTTTTTGTTTTCAGTATTGGCTTTTTTTTTTTTTTTTTTTTAAGATTAGCCCTAAGCTAACATCCATGCCCATCTTCCTCTATTTTATATATGGGATGCCTGCCACAGCATGGCTTCATAAGCAGTGTGTAGGTCCACACCCAAGATCTGAACCAGGGGACCCTGGGCTGCTGGAGCAGAGTGCACAAACTTAACTGCTACACCAGTGGGCTCGCCCCTCAGTATTGGCTTTTAAGTAAAATGATCCATTCATTATTATCTTACATTAGCCTTTGGTAGTTTTTGACACTGTTCTGTTGGAGCAAAACATTAAAAGGAAACACCGTCTTTATTCAGCCAGTTATAGGTGTGCTAAGGCAAAGATGGTAATCCCAATGGATGTTACAAACATTGGATGATTGCAGTATTTTGGATTTTTATAGCATAATTGGTCGAAAATGCTGTCATAAAGCAGTGTGTTACTTACTTGTAAAATTGAACCAAAGTTGTTTTATTTAGCAAGATCTGGTAATTTAATAAAATGACTGATTTTAATCTTTGTTCCAATTAATTTTGCTTGAGATTTGTGAAAAATCACTGATTTTGGCACAATAAACTAATACTACATTAACAGAAAAAAAAAATAAAAGTAAGAAAAAAAAAGCAGTGTGTTAATGGAGTATGAAAGAACAGGAAAGTACCTTTGGAGACAGACTCCTTTATTCTCTGGAGGAGGAAACTAAGGCTCAGAGGTGGTCATGACTTGCCTGTGATCAATAGTGAACAGCACAGCTAGAACTAAACCCCAGATCCCTACCTCCCAGTTCAGCCCTCTTTCTACACTGCTGTGCCTTCTCTTATATACCCACTTTCTATATCTCATTAAATAATTATTTATCCTAATATTCACTTGATTCTCACTCTTTTCATCTCCATGAAAGAAGAAAAAATTCTTAGCTTTTGATTATGTATTAAGAGAAGTAGATTAAATACCTAGTATATAACTACACATTGTAAACAGTCAGTCAGTAACTACCATGTAGTTACAATGATCGTTGGAGCTCTTTACAACTTTGGTACTTGGCGTCAGCACTCCCCCTACAATAATAGAGTGTAGTGGCTGGGCCTCAGGGCTCTGGAGTCAGGCTGCCTCTGAATTGCAACTGGGGCTGTGTGACTTTGGGCAAGTAATTAACCTCTTTAGATCTCAGTTTCCTCATTGCCAGTTGGTGATAATAGTGATACCCACTTTATAGGTTTACTGAAAGGATCAAGTGAGTTCATATACCTAGCATTACGCTTGGCCTGTTGTACACAGTCAAATGTTAGCTGCTGATGCTATTTTATTATCTGATGGGGATTATTATCTTTATTACTGTTTTCATTAAGAGCTGGGTAGTTCTCCAAGAGAACGTATTAGGTCACCCACCGCATGTTCCACATGAAGGTTTGATTTCCTCTGGTTTCTCTTGGCCGCCTCTAGACCCATGGACTTGACTAGCCTGAAAAGGAATCTGTCTAAGGGACGGATTCGCACCATGGCTCAGTTCCAGAGGGACCTGATGCTGATGTTCCAAAATGCTGTGATGTACAATGACTCTGATCATCATGTATACCATATGGCTGTGGAGATGCAGCGAGAAGTCTTGGAGCAGATTCAGGTACTGTACATAGAGAACTGCAAGAAAAAGGAGAGTAGTCTCTGGAATCTGATTTTAGAAAGTCTGTGAGACTAAGGGTGATGTTGAAGTGACCTTGTGCTCCTAGAGTTTGTGTTTAGAGGTGATTCAAGGCCCTGAAGGATTGACGTACGTGCTAGTTAAGAAAACCCTGAGCCTCTGCAAGACCAGCTTTAATAGATAGTGAAGTAAAGTAGTCCAGGAAAGCAGGCAGCCGTGAAGAGCTCTCAAGAGAGCTGGGGATAGATAAAGTAACAGGAGCTCCTGCTTCCCAAGCTTCAAGTTAGAGGGCTAAACATGCAAACCAGAGGCTGGAGTCACTTTCTATATTTTGGTTGCTACACTTGTTATTAGTGTATGTTCACACTGTCCCATCTGTAGGGGATAAGACATATAGCCAGAAGAAAACATTTGAGGGTTTCTTTTATGGGCAGCATCATACTTTAAGGAAAACAGCATAGTCAAATCTCTTTGCAGAAAAATAAAATTGCATTCAAACCTCTGTCGCTTTGAAGATTCATAGCTTGTTATCTGCCTTGACCCTGTAGGTGCTGAGTATTTGGTTAGACAAAAGAAGAGACTTAAATAGTCTGGAGTGAGAAGCAGCCGACTTCATGGATGGTGGAAAACCTGTCTTGTTAACCTGGAGCCGCTACCCTGAACTTTTCTGGAATTTGGACCTCTCATTGAGACTCTGGCCCACAGAGGCTCCCACTACTTGTTTACCACTTCTCAGTTGTCTTTTCTAATAAGAATAATGCCTTAACTCACAACCAAGGAGTCAAAGGTGCCTGTGGTCATAATATATAGAAAATGGGGAGAGCTGAGCTTTGGGTTATGCCATAAATGTTGTCCACATCTTTGTTCCATAGGCTTAATTTAGAGGTAACTAGATTAGACATCTTATTACTCCTCTATAAATAAATGTTATTTCACAAGTCAAAGATTGCTTTTTAATGATGACAGAAGGTGGGAATAGGGGGGACAGTATCATCTGGTGAAATGAGTAAGGTATTTGACATGAGTTTTCTTCCATACACTGTTTGGAAGGAGGTGGGGTAGGATGAGGGGAGAGTGTATGTGATTTGCTTCATCATTTGTAAAGTGGAGATAATTGAAGTGTCCTTCAAATGTCTAGGAGGATGAGATAAGATAAATTATGAGAAATGCTGAAAGACATCTAGTCTTCTAAGATTTGCAAGGGGGATAAAAACGCCTGTGACTGGCTCCCTGTCTTGATTAAAAGGAACCGGCCAGAGGCTGTGAAGCACTCTGCTGGGATTGGCCCTCTGCAGCCACCGTCCTTAAGCAGGGCTTCAGGTCTCCTAGAAACCAGTTGTGGTGGCACTGGAGGAGAGGTGTTAAGGTGAGTCCCAGACAAGGGTCGGACTCGGAATCTGCAGCTGCAGCCCCGAAGGGCCCAGGGGACCTAGAGATTCTGCTTTCCAAACAGGCCTGACCTTCTGCGTGGTTGTTCCTGCCGGGCGGGGCTGGGCGGGGACAGGCGTAGCAGGCAGCTCATCTGCTGCTGGAGTGGCCGGAGGGATTGCCGACTCAGTCTGTTGTTGCTGCCCCGAGACTCTGCGCCAGTCCTAGGCCCTCGGATTGTCCCTTGACCTCTCCACCTCGAAAGCGCTTAGGAAAACCCAGAGCACGACTTAGTCGCAGAGTAGAAATCGTATTACTGAGACAGTGCTTATAGAAAAAGATCCGCAATTTCTAACTTTATAAATTAATAAAATCAAGCACCTAATGCTATTCTTAATCACGATTACATTAAATTTGGGGTGGGGGAATGCATGTCATTGCAGTTGATACCTGTCAAGAATCTCTTAAATTGTACCCTGAAAAACCAGAATGGAGATATCAATGCCCCCACCTCAGATATATGTAGAAAAAACTCTGGCCATTATCAAACCAGATATTGTTGACAAGGAGGAGGAGATACAAGATATTATTCTCAGATCTGGATTCACCATTGTTCAGGTAACTTCTGGGCACGTGATCGTGTCTTTTTCTCTCTGCTCCTTTTTTTATGTTTATGCAAATATGTTAATCTGTTTAGATCCTCAGTATTTAGCATTAAATTTAGGTTTATTCTTCTAAGTATAAAAGTTATATGTGATAGCTTTAAAAAAATTTTTTCACACTTCAAAAGGATGTGAGAAGTAAAATTCCTTTTCCTTTCACCTGTTCTCTCCCACCCCAACTCCCAGGCTCCAGAGAGAGGCAACCACTGAACACTTTCTGTTCTTCCAGGATTTTTTTTATGCATTTAAAAACATTTTTCCCCCCATAAAATAGGACAATCCCTCTCCCTCGACACCCTTCCACGTGAAGATTTGATTTCCTCTGGTTTCTGTTGGCCATTTGTAGACCCATTTACTTAACTAGCCTGAGATCTAAGGAAAAAAGCAAATTAAAAAGATACTGAGATACCATCTGGCAAAAATGTAAAAGTAAATGGCGCAGCCCCTTTGGAAGGGAATCTGGTGATTATTTTATCAATATTACAGAGGCATTTACCCTTTGACCCAGCATTCCTACTTCTGGGAACCCTTCCTGTAATCCATGTATTAATATGAGATGACATATATACAAGTTATTTTTTGCAGCATTGTGTATTTACCACCAAAAGGTTGAAAACAGCCCAGCGTTATAAACTCTAGCGAATCCACCAAATTGAATACTATGTGACTGATTGTAAAAAGAATAAGGAACCCTCTGTTACGAAAAAAAAAAGCAAGATTCAGAACAATGTGTAACAACCTTTTGTCATAGAGAAAAAGTGATATATATTCATGCTTGCCAGTATTTGCAAAATGAAACACTAAGAGATAAATAAACATAATAGTTGCGAGGCCAGCCTGGTGGTGCAGAGGTTAAGTTCGCACATTCTGCTTCTCAGCAGCCGCTGGTTCAGATCCTGGGTGTGGGCATGGCACTGCTTGGTAAAAGCCATGCTGTGCAGATGTCCCACATATAAAGTGGAGGAAGATGAGCACGGATGTTAGCTCAGGGCCAGTCTTCCTCAGAAAAAAGAGGGGAATTGGCAGTAATTAGCTCAGGGCTAATCTTCCTCAAAAAAATAAAAAAAGTTGCCAATTGAAGGCAGGGAAGAACAGGGTAGATTAGGACCAGGATATACCTTTTTATATTGCTTTGAATTTTTTAACCCTGTAAGTATATTACCCATTAATTTTAGAAAAAAACAAATATAAAAATAAGATAAAGATATCCATTTAAGTTTTTAAAAAAGTCCATCGTTTAAAAAGAATTAGTGACAAACTTAAATGGTTAATGTTAATTATAAATTAAAAATTAGTATAAATATTAATATTTAACACTTTGCCTAGTCAGCAGTACATTTCAGACCAAAGAAGGCCTTGGTATATTGTATGCTGCTTTTTTGTTTTAATCGTGATAAAATATATACAACATAAAATTTACCGTTTTAACCTTTTTTTTTTTTTGAGGAAGATTAGCCCTGAGCTAACTGCTGCCAATCCTCCTCTGCTTTATATGTGGGGTGCCTACCACAGCATGGCTTGCCAAATGGGGCCGTGTCCGCACCCGAGATCCGAACCGGTGAACCCTGGGCTGCCGGAGAGGAACATGCGAACTTAGCCGCTGTGCCACGGGGCCAGCCCCAACCATTTTAACCATTTTTAGGTGTAGAGTTCAGTGACATTAAGCACATTGATGTTGTTGTGCAACCATCACCATTATCCATCTCTAGAACTTTTTCATCATTTCAAACTGAAACATTGCACCCATTAAACACTGACTCTCTGTTTACCCCCTCCCTAGGCCCTGGTAACTACTATTCTATTTCCTGTCTTTATGACTTTGACTATTCCAGGTATCTCATGTAAGTGGAATCATACAATATTTGTCCTTTGTATTGTGTGCTTTTAAGATAGGCTTTATTGTAGTTGGGAATCCATTGAACTTGAGGCTTACTTGTCCCATCTAGGGAAAACCTTCTGAAAAATGATGTGTCCTTTCAGTAGGTGGCAGTCTTTCCTTCACAAACTCATGGTTCCTTTTCTGATATTATTTAGTACCAGTGCTTTTCTTTGTGAAAATATTCATTCAAATTCTAAAATATTTTACCTGATCTAGTGACCAATGGATTCATTGATTCATTATCAACTTTAATTTAAGATGAGCCCTTCATTTTTATAATTATGCTGCATTAGCCAGCACACCTGCAGAAAGTAGCTTCCCCTGCTTGCTAAGGGGTATGTGGCAGGTAAGGGCTTACATTGTGACGGATGAGATTTTTATTTTTTAACCCAGCAACAGCAAGACTCCACACTAATATGCATAAGAATCACAAATACTAGCATGTCTTAGTTTTAAATAACAGAATCGTGGATTATACTAAATCAGGTGCTGTTGTAACTTGTCAAATTTCTTCTATTTCTCAACTATATGAATTTCAATATGAGCACAGATACAGCACCTTTTTTGTAGTAATTTGTTCTTGCCTGGTGAGAATGTCATGTTTGTCCAGTAGAGCCTGTTTGTACCAGTGCTGACCCACCTAGGTAAACATCTTTCCAGGCTTCTTGCTCTGGACAACCTAGGTTCCTCAGTACAAATCAAGCAATTTTACCAAGTTTCTCAAACCTGAGGACACATGATAGTTTTGGAAGGGGCTTTAAAAGGTAGGTCGCTTGGTAAAATTTACACTGTACTCTCAGGAAAATCTAACCCATTTTAGAAAGATGGATTTCTGCCTCAATCATGGAAATTTTTCAACCTTCACCTGGTGACTTATCTCCATGTTTCATCATCCTTACTCCAGCCAGAATTCTTCCTTGACGTCTACTTTGAATCCCTCTCTTATATTTTGAGCCTTTTCCCTCATGATCCACTTTTAGTGGAACTGAAAAACAGTAGTGATGAATGATTTTTTTTTTTTAAGATTTTATTTTTCCTTTTTCTCCCAAAGCCCCCTGGGTACATAGTTGTGTATTTTTAGTTGTGGCTCCTTCTAGTTGTGTCATGTGGGATGCCGCCTCAGCATGGCCTGATGAGCAGAGCCATGCCTGTGCCCAGGATTCAAACTGGCGAAACCCTGGGCAACTGAAGCAGAGTGTGTGAACTTAACCACTCTGCCACAGGGCCGGCCCCATGAATAATTTTTTAAAAGCACTCAAATAGCTACTTTTAGGGAAAGTATGATACTTTCCAGTAGGAAGAATGACCAACTTAGCTTCTATGATTTTTTAAATTTAATGATTCATTTGTATAGTCTCTCATTTGTGAAGAAAATAACATTTATTTGTCTTAAGCGTTTCATATTCTTTTGAATTGAGAAACTTAATGCCAACTAATTTTTCTTAAGATCACAGTGAATCAACATATTTATTAGCAGAACCAGAATAAAGAATACACAACTTTCATATTATGCTGAAAAACTTGTTTACTGCCTGGTTATACTGCATGTTATTTCTAAGTACCATAATGAGACCAGCTCCCTAAACTAAAATAGGAAAATTTCACAATAAATAGGATAGTACAACAAATAGATAGGGAAAGATGAATTTGGAATATTATAATGTCCAATTTTGTTATTTTAATGTATACAAAGTATATATTAACAAAATATTATTGATTGGAGTGTTTTTACTTCAAGAAGGGGGTATTGCAAATTTGTCATTAACAAACTGTTGAAGAAGGCTGCCAAACAGGAATGATTTTTTATAATTAGGTTAAATCTTTTTTTTTTTTAACTGAAATAACATTGCTTTATAACATCATATAAATTTCAGGTGTACGTCATTATATTTCGATTTCTGTGTAGACTATGTCATGTTCACCACCCAAAGGCTAATTATCATCCATCGCCATACACATGTGCCTGGTCACTCCTTTCACCCTCCTCCCTCACCACTTCCCCTAGAGTAATCACCAATCTAATTTCTGGGTCTATGTGTTTGTTTGTTGTTTTTATCTTCTCCTTATGAGTGAGATCATAGGTATTTGACTTTCTCTGTCTTATTTCACTTAGCATAATGCCCTCAAGGTCCATCCATGTTGTTGCAGATGGCAAGATTTCTTTCTTTTTTTTTTTTTTTATAGCTGAGCAGTATTCCATTGTATGTATATACTACATCTTCTTTATCCACTTGTCGCTTGATGGCACTTAGGTTGTTTCCAAGTCTTGGCTATTGTGAATAATGATTCAATGAAAATAGGAGTGCATATATTTTTATGCATTCGTGTTTTCATGTTCTTTGGATAAATACCCAGAAGTGGAAAAACTGGATCATATGGTAGATCTATTCTTAATTTTTTGAGGAATCTCCATACTGTTTTCTATAGTGGCTGCACCAGTTTGCATTCCCACCAGCAGTGTATGAGAGTTCCCTTTTCTCCACATCTCCAACACTTGTTATGTCTTGTCTTGTTAATTATAGCTATTCCGATGGGCATGAGGTGATACCTCATTGTAGTTTTGATTTGCATTTCCCTAATAATTAGTGATGTTGAGCATATTTGCATGTGCCTGTTGGCCATCTGTATATCTTCTTTGGAAAAATGTTTTTAGATCTTTTGCTCATTTGTTAATTGGGTTGTTTGCTTTTTTGTTGTTGAGATGTATGAGCTCCCTATATATTTTGGATATCAACCCCTTATCAGATATATGGTTTGCAAATATCTTCTCCCAATTGTTAGGTTGTCTTTTCTTTTTGTTAATGATTTCCTTTGCTGTGCAGAGCTTTTTTGTTTGATGTTGTCCCTTTTGTTTATTTTTTCTTTTGTTTTCCCTTGCTTGGCCAGACATGGTATTTGAAAATATGCTGCTAAGACTGATGTTGAAAAGTGTACTGCCTATGTATTCTTTTAGAAGTTTTATGGTTTCAGGTCTTTCATTCAAGTCTTTAATCCATTTTAAGTTAAGTTTTGTGTATGGTGTAAGATAATGGTCTACTTTCATTCTTTGCATGCGTCTGTCCTATTTTCCCCAACAC